CACGATCATGCTTTGGAAACTATGGACACATATCTTTATAAAGTAAATAGCAGTGAATGCAAAAGCTCCCCCTGAACAATTTTTCCAGACACATCTCAGGCCTACAAATGGGAAGAGTAACCGTGAGACACGGAAACTTCCCTGGGGTGAAACTGTAGCTTGAATTATGGACCAGCTGTTCAGAACTCCCTGCTGATGACCTCTATGAAGAATGACGGAAACACCTGAGCCTGCATGTGGCACTGAAATCAACTCTTGTGTGCCTTCACAGATACTTCTCTACTGCCACCTGATGCTCAAACAGAAAACCTCTGGAGTTTGACCTCCTATGAACTCTACAGAGTAGGGTGCAGCACTGCACACTACAAAGAAAAAAAAACATTTTGCTATCGAGATGGAGAAAAGGCATTGCCATAAAAAAGCTCCATTAAATCAGTCAACCAATAGAAAACAATGGACAAGAAGCTGCTCAGTCTATTCTCTGTCCTGCACAGTCCCTCTCCTAAATAAGTGGGATGGCATCCTCGAACACAGCCAGAGTTTTATTGCACAAAACAGCATTAAGTATTGTATTCTGGGTGAGCCTTTGCCAATAGGCTGTGAAGTCTACAGGAGTCAAGCAGGCCTGCAGTCAACACTGGCAACCCCGTTCTTAACGCAGGCCACTGTAAGGAGGTACAGAGCTGCTTTGCCTGAGGGCTGCCAAGTGCTTTACCATCACTGTACTGAAAAACATCCCTCCCTCAAGCAAAGAGGCTAAGCTAGACAAAGGATAACCCCACTGCCTGAGGTAGCAGAGCATTTAAACAGAATATTGTGTCACACTCCTCTTTAACTGCTAGCTCTGCTGTCCAAGCCTCTTGTTCAGCCTCAGCGTTACACAGTATTAGCAGGACCCCCTACACCACCCACAAGACGCAATACAAAATGTAACTAGAGAAGTAACAAGAGCTCCTTTAAGTACAAAGCATTATTAAAGTTACAGCTCCTGTTACTTGAAGCTCTTTTCCCTTCAAAAAGCATAATATTGGCACATTACCTGTCTCCACCAGAGAGGTCTTCAACACTTCCAAACCCAGGGGTTGGCATAGGACATCCCATGTGCTTGAACTGAGCTATATGAGGTCTGGGTGCTGGAATTTCTCCACGAGACTTTTTGTGTTCCTGCTCCTCTTTGATGCGGGTGTTCTCCTTGTCACAGATGAAACACTCGAAGCCGTTCAGGTAATTGGGCAGAGTCATGTCATTCACACCCCACTCCCGCCTCTCCAAACTCTCTAGCAAGAACTGGTTTTTGATTCCACCAGCATTTTTATACTCTAGATACTTCAAATATTCCTCTCCATTCTTGTCCAGGAAATCAAGATATTTTGCCAGCTCTTGGGGGCTGTCAAAATCATCTATAAGAATGATGGAGCGGTTGTTTGGCATCCAGTCCCGCACGGCTGGGGAGCCTCGGTACACTGGCACAGCACCCAGGTGCATGGGACGCCACAGCTTCTCTGTCATGTAGTCGTCACATATGGCATTCTCCAAGGCCAGATGAAACTTGTACCTGGCAATAAAAGTCATAAATTCAGAATCTTCTGTAGTGGCTGTAGAAGTATCTCTCAGTCGCTCACTGGGGAGCTCACGGTTATGCAGGCATTTACCATAGGAGTCAACCTAAAATAACAAACAGCATCTTTACAAAGTGATTTGTTCCCCTGGAACTTGTTTTCAGATCTTGTAGTTCTTGTAAAATTCCTAACTTGGATCAGTTCATAGCTATGTTAATTTAGCTTCATTTTCACTCCAAGGTCTTTCCCTTGAGACTATTCCTAGAGTCCAAGTTCTCCATGCTTTAGAGAAAACCAAGTGCTGAGTTTCAAAAGCAACATTAGCCACACTACAGACTGAGGGTCAAGGGGAACGCACAGTTGGCACCCAAAAATTTATCTATTATCGGATAAATAAGAAATTGACAAGTAAGGAACAGCATTCAGACTCTATGTCAATTTAAATACTCTCTTTCCACTTAAGAGACAAAGTGCTTCTCCAAACAGTTATTACACAGAGTTCCAGTCAGTCTCAGCACGCTGACAGAATTTTTTCCATTTCTTAGACTGAGAAAAATTGATTTAGGGAGCTAAAAGAATACCGTCTAAAAATACAAGCTAGCATACTTGAGCTGGAACCTGCACTATACTTTCAGAAGATCATAATTTTAAAAAAATTCTTTTGCCTTTGCTTCACTACTCAGTACATGATGACCTTACACAATAACTGAATCATGACCAATAGAAACAACAGAAACCACCAGAAAAACAAGTCTCTGGCAAAGTCTAAAAACAGATATATATATTTTTTTTAATCCATCTAATATCCTTTACACTCTTTAAGAGAAAAAATGCAGTATGCTTTTTTCCTGCTTGGAAGAAACATTATTTTACTTTATGAAGCTACTCACCATCAGCTGTACCATAGCAGTACAAGCCATCACAGAAACAACACGGTCCTACCACAACACAGGTAAGGAGCAGATTCTCACAACAGACCAACCTGCCTTTTAACGTCACTCCTGTACTTTCAAACGGGAGCGAGGCTTGTGAAGGGACAGCCTTCCTGTATGCAAACTTCAAAGTCCAGAGATTTCAACAACTTCTAGCACTTGATCCACAAGACTGAACTTATTCAGGCTTTGCCCAGCTTGTGACTGATCCCGAGTGCGGCCAACTCCCCATCTAACATCTGCATCGGGTCTACCTACTGACATGCGGTGTAGTCTAGATCACGCTTTGGGAAGGAATACAACTAGTTTTTCTGTCCAGCTTGTAGTCAGCATGCATCCCGTTATGATTCGCGTCTTGGCTAAAAACAAGGACAAACAAACCCCATTAAAACGAGGCGGTAGAGGGGGGCAGCCAGGTGTTCCCAGCTCCGACAGCTGGGAGCCGACACCGCGCACTCAGCCCGCCTACCTGGATGTACTTCATGAGCTCCCGCACGTAGCGGTCCCTGTCCGAGGGCACGTCGCAGTGGGACTGCATGTACAGCACCGGCCCGTAGCCCTTCCGCCGCCACGCCTCCTTCTCGGCCAGGGGCACGGCCGGGGCCCGCAGGTACGCGGTGCCGGGCAGCCACTGCAGCGTGAGCGGGTAGTCGGACTCCCGGCGGAAGGTGGCCGTGTAGTTGAAGAGCCGGATGCCGGGCGAGTGCGAGAGCACGTAGTTGTTCATGGGGGACTCCTCGTGGAAGAGCGCCCAGGTCTGGTGGGGCAGGCGGGGCAGCGGCGCCTCGTACGCCCTGAAGTCGGTGCCGTAGAAGATGAGCGCCTTGGTGCGGCGGTGCCGGGCCACCCGCCGGCTCCGGGTGACGAGGCAGGAGCCGCGGGGGCAGTCGATGCGCTCCGTATCGCCGGGGAAGTGCGGGAAGAGGCTCCCGCTCCACCAGAGCAGGATGGGCAGCGCCTTGTTGCTCCGCGTGTCGTTGTTGCCGGGCCCGCGGTACGACGCGGCGGCGACGAAGGCCGCGCCCGGCGGGACGGCGTCCTGCGCCCAGCCATGCGCCCCGCAGGGCTCGGCCGGCTCCTCGGCGGCCACAGCCAGCCCCGCGCTGCAGGCCAGCGCCAGCGTCACCCACAGGCCCGCGGGCCCCGGCCCGGCACCCCCCATGCCCGGCCCGCCACCCCGGGCCAGCCGCGGGCCCGCCCCGCCGCCCCAGGAAGGAGCCCTGGGCCCGCCCCGGTGGTGCCGTCACGGGGCAGGGCCGGGCCGGGGCGGCACCGCCGTGCCCGCCCCTCGGAGCTCGGACCGTCCCTTTGCAGCGGCGCGGCGGGCAGCGAGTCGTAGCCCCGCTCCGGCGGCAGCGGGAGCCTTGCTGCAGCCGCTCGACGAGGTGAGCTATTCGCAGCTCCCTCCCAGCCCCACCGTACAATGGTTGAAGCTGCTGTAAGTCTCCCTGCCTCTGCCGCTCCTGCATCCGCCCGTGCTTACACCGGCCCCGCAGTACCTGCCGCTGACAGAGGTACAGCCGAGCTGCTCCCCGAAGGCACAGCATGCCGCGACTCAGGCACTGCAGAGAGGGCTCCGGGACCAAGCAAGCGGTCAGCTGTTACAAGAGCGAGCCCCCAGCTCAGCTCCTGTTGGAGACCATAAAGGGAAGGAACAGAAAACACCTTTTACTATCACAAATCTTCTGTTTGGGTGTTTGGGTTTTGGTTTTCTTTTTAATATCTATAGGTAGTTTTAAAGCGCCCTTAAAGCTGCTTTTCTATACCAACCTTGAATAATTCACAGAATCACAGAATAATGAGGTTGGAAGAGACCTCTAAGATCATCAAGTCCAACCTATGCCCTAACACCACAACTAGACTATAGCACCAAGTGCCAAGTCCAGTCTTTATTTACACATATGCAGGGATGGTGATTCCACCACCTCCCTAGGAAGACAATTCCAGTATTTTATTATTCTTTCAGTGAAATTTTTTTTCCTAATATCCAACCTAAACCTTCCCTGACATAGCTTGAGACTGTGTCCTCTTGTTCTGCCAGTTGCTGCCCGGTGGACGAGATCGACCCCCACCTGTCTACAACCTCCCTTCAGGAAGCAGTAGAGAGCAATAAGAGCAATATGTATATTCTTACAGTATTAAGATATTCTGTAAATGGGAAAGTGGTTTGGGCTACACTATGTAAATCCAACAGACATATTCTAGAATTACCAGTCAGTTGCTCAGTTATACAATTGCTAAAAGCTTCACATTAACTTCTCAAGAGACAATATAATATTTATGAATTATCAGTTATAATACAGGACATTAGTTAGTATGGACAAAAGGCAAAGAAGTATTCTTCAGCTGTGTTAGAAACAAGCTAAAGAGGGAATAGTTTTCCTTTCCTTTGCAAAGTTAGGTGTAGACACTGCTTGGGCCTCCTCCAATAGCACCACGGTATCCTCCACTTGGGCCCAGAGAGAAGGTAACAGACATGGGCTCTCCAATACAATTTCCACAAGCATCAGAATGTGCTGCACAATTTACTCCACAAGATTAATGTACAAGATCCACAAGGCCCATCATTATCACATCAGTTCTGTGGCAGATTCTGGACATAATATACATTCTATAGGACACAAATCTCAAAAATATTCAACAGCAAATTTAGTATTATTGGATATTTAGCAATGATTGTCTTGTGCTTTCATACAATTTGTTATAAGGCTATCAGCAAACTGTACAACAGCAATATTCATGGGTACAGTCAAGATAACACTGCCAGTTCACTCTGAACTTTATTTTTGCAATTAGCAACACTCCCGGCAAAAAAAAAAAAAAGAACCACAACCCAACCCCCCAAAAAACAAAACAAAACAAACCCCAAAAAGCCAAAAACAAAAACACCCACAAAAAACCCAACCAAAACACCCCCCAACCAATTCACTCAGGTACCCTTAACTCTGAAATATGAGCTCTTTTAAGACTGCTGAAGTCATAACTTGACATTGTCACAAAGTAAGAGTGATATTTGCATAAGTAGACAAAAAAAAACCCCACCCAGTCAATGACTCAAGCTCTGTCAGCAAAAAAGGGAATTTCTTTATGAAATGGAAGCTCAGACAGGGCAAAAAGTCAATACCCAATCACTTAAATAAAGGAACACTGAGAATAAACAGTACCTTTTGTCTGTTGACTCTTGTTGAATTCCTTATCATTCAGTGCGAATAACAACGACAAAAAAAGAAAGACTGAACTTGGTTAGTAGAAGATTAGACTGTAAAGGATCAATGAGCTAGACTTCAGCCCTTCCCATTTCCCCCCCTCCCGCAAAATACAGGGTTTGGAAAAATAAGCAGTATTTATTTACTAACAATGACATAAAATACATCTTAATATATCTTTATTTCTTTACAAATTAAAAGATGCATTGGAAAAACAAGTGAAGAAAATGAAAGGTTCATTCATGATTTCATTTCCACCCCCACACCCCCCAGTATTAATACTAGAAATTAGTATTTGTGGAAGTCTGTGGTTGCTGTGCATTATATTTCCAAGAAGTTCTTTTTTCCCCCCTCTGATTAAAAATCCTCTAGATTTTTTGGTTGGAGGCAGTACGTGGAGTAAAAAGTCAGCCACATTCATACAAAACCGCTGAAAGTTCTGTCAACTACATCTTGAAAGAGTTTCTACATTACAATTTTCATGTTCCCCTTTCTGTGTAGTGATGGGAGGGAAGACAAACTAGCAGCATTAGAAGAAAAATGAATTTATATACATGCTACAGGATATGGAACTAAAACCACAGCCAGATATTTTTCTGATCTTAACAAGGACTTTCCTATGAAATATCAAGCCCAGATAACATGTTCTCTAATCCATCCACATTCTTCCTTTCACTTTTAGTGCTATTGGTAGCTTAAACTCCTGGGTACTGGAAGAACACCTGTTAAGTGTTCAAGTTAAAATATACAAACCCCCTTTCAAAAGTGAATAAACAAAGCCCTTAGAATTCTAAATTTGATTACACTAGCTCCCTCTTCACAGGAGTCTTCTCATCCACCCTTGCAAAATGGAGCAGCAGAGCAGCCAAAGTGGATGGATTAATCTGTCTGAGGTATTTTAGTTTAACAAACAGGCTTATAAAAGGTTTTGTGCAAGCTGATCAGTAGACAGAATGTGGAGGGTATAAACATCCAGTAATTAGACTCTTTGCTATGGCCCAGGTGCTGTCAATAGCCAAAATCAGGTACATGCAATACCTATTACAGTACAGTCTAAATCTTTTGTATCCCCTTCCGTGTGTTCCAGGGTACAAAGCAATCTCAAATTCATGTCAGTATAAATCAAACTCCTGCTTGTTGGCTATGATTCACAAAAATATAGTTGAAAATGGCCACTTCCTTATCATTCAGTTCCTACACAGTCCCTCATCACCTTGTTTAAAGTATTTTCTGCCTAAGGTTAAGAAGCTTTTGTTCCCACCACCATCTGACAGACAGGTAAACTCTGCAGGAGAGGTCATGGAACATGGATTGAGTAGGACAATACAGAGCTGTGCAATGAGAAGGAAAGCAGTCACCACACATGTCAACAGGAAGTACCGTCTCTACCCCTACACTGTCCAGAAGCTGTTGATTTTTGCCCACTTAACTATTAATTACTCCATTACAGTTCTGCACAGCAACTTATAGTACGGGGAAGATTGTGGAGAGAAGTTTGCCCTGCTGCCTCCTGGCTTACCACTCATTTCATGTTTCATGGCTTTCTGGTTTGGACAGCCACATGATACATCTGTGCTCTAACAGATCATGCTTCCCTCTTTAAAGGAGATACAAAATGTTTGGCTGCTCCAGCTCCCATCACCTGATCTACCTCTTGCCATCCCCACCTGTGCATCCTCTTCACACTTGGAGCATGCACACACACCCACACAAATGCACAGCAGCTACCAGAAGTTTTGAAGAGTTATCACTTTTTCACCCAATGTTGAATCATGTACAGTGAACTGAAAAAAACTCTACATTCATTACAACAGGATTAGCGAGCATGGGGTGGGGTGGGGGGTGAACTCCTGCCAAGCACAGGAAACAATTTAGATGCAAATAAAAGACCTGGTATCAAAGGCCTTTTTTTTTTCTTAGCCCTCACCAGGAAAATATTTCATCTCTCATATGGGATTGGGAAAGGTTGAAAGGATTTCTGCTAATGCAATGTGTATTAAAAATTATGGAATTGTACAGATTTCTATGTTGTCCTTTTTGAGGGCGCTGGGCCTTCTGATCAGGTCATTAGTGGAGACAAATGTCACTGCTGAGTTCTAGCACCACTCACTCCTCTAGCTCAGTAGCTGCCGAATCTCCTTGTGCATGTGACACAGGAAGTCCACATAGGAAGCCCCCCCACTCAGGCTCTTGTCCTCCACTAGAAAGTGTTTGAACAGCATTTCCAGCTTATCTTCTTGCTTCACAATTATCAACTACAAGAAACCAAACACAACAAGAACAAAACCAACAGTGAGTAGCTATTAAAATTAATCTTCATGAGGAAAATAGAGCAAAAAGCTAAATGCTCAAAATGCAAAGACAGCCAGCCAGAATCACAGCATATAGGCTTATGTGCTTTGACTTCTGTAACTTAGCTGGGTTAAGCCTCAATCCTTTCTAAACAGAAGGAAAATACCATATATGTAGTTCATATAGTAATGTATTGCAATACGTCTGAAAAAAGGAAGTTTTAGAACTATGGTAAGCATAAAACTCCAAAATTAGTGAAATTTGTTTTCAGATTCTTGAAAACTTTGAATAACATTTATGACATTGGGAAGAGTAAGTTCATGACTGCATCAACTGACTCTACTAAGAGGGAAGGGGATTTAAAGCTCTAAATGGGGGACATTTTTACCTTCATGTAGCGGGATCTCTGTCCTTGAAGCATATCAACAATAGATCGCACTTTCTTTGAAAAGGGGTTTTCCAAGACTGGCAGGGTACTCTGGAATGAAAGACAGCCAATCCCCATTAGTCTTGGGAAGTAGAGCAATGTTAAACAAAAGTCATAAGTTTTGGCATACTCTAAAAGGGTAGAGAAACATCTACCCCCATTAGCATACAATCTCTTTGACTTCAACTACTTAAAAGAGAATGTAACATGAAATCAGAATTAGAGGTCAATTATTTATTCCATTTAGATATCAATTGTTCTCTTCAATGTTAATGATATGACTTGTCAAATACACCTAGGCAAAAGCATGCCTGACATGTCCAGACTATCAACATTTCCGCTAGTTTCACACATCTGCGCTTCTCTCATTTCTATTATGAAAAACGAAATGCTATTTTTTTCTACCGGCTTTCTCATTGTTTTAAGTTTTGGGTGACTATCACGGACTCTAGCTCTCACACTGCCATCCACCTCACCAAGGCATTGCTAATTTGATTGAAGGATGACACTCCAAAGAGGTTCTGGATCAGGCCTTGCTGCACGTTGATTCCCACCCACACAAAGATGTTCAGCCCATTCTCCAGCAGGTAGATGTCACCCTTGGAGAGACGCTCCTCAGAGTTCCGAATGGCTGCTGGCAAGGAATCACTGTCAACATCTGCTTTGGTCTGTTTTACAGGGAAATAAAAATGAAAGTAAAATAAAAGTTATACAACAAGAATATCTTAAGAAGTCCTGAAAATTTCTACCATAAAGACCCCAATAATTTTCTCATTTCCAGGACTCTCAAGACTGCAAAAATTGTGACTGAAGTAGAATTTTACTTAGTTTTCTTACTTAAAGTGACACAGAAGCAGTTCAGAGACTCTTGGTCAGCAAAAGAGAACACAAAGCTTCTGTGAAAAGACTCAAGCTCAGATATCACCTCCTGGAGTAGGAATGTAATTTTTAGTGTTATTCCAGCAATTATGGTAATGAAAAGTCAGAACAGCACATGGAGTTACCTTGCAATACTGAAAATTACTACAAAAAGTTGTAAGCTTCAGGACTTTCAAAAAAGACTATGAAAGGGTCAAAAGTGTCTTCTTTGTCACTAGTCATATGCTTACAGCTCAGGAAAAAAGTATCCCCCCAAGAAATTCACAAGGTGCAGTAATGCTGAGCAAAATTAAGTTAAATATCCCAAGAGATGGCAGATCCCCAAATACTTCTCAAATCACTTTCCCTCACTAAAATATAAATGCTAGTCCTTAAGATGAGGCAGTGAGACAACAGCAAGCCTCAAATGCTAAGCAGATCTTGAATTACTTACCAGAGGCAAAAGCCTGGGATAAAAGAAAACGTTTGTTTCAGCCACATCCATGGACGTCACTAACTGACGGACGTAGGCACGGTCGTCTGTTGTGACCTCTGGGCCGGGCTGAAGCACGTCACTCTTCAACACACAGTTCAAGTACACAGGAAGCAGCTTCATGCATTCGGGGAGGATGAGCTAGAAGTCACAAACAGACAGAAGCTGGTCAGCTGTCTTGCTGAATAAGCTTATGTTTGACAAAACAAGGCTTGCATGAACCAACAAAGTGCGGTACAGCCATGAGGAGTGAAAGCTGATAGTCTACTTGTATCACAGACTGCAAAAAAAACATAAAACCTTTCCCTGAAGCAGGCAGTGCTCCCTGGGCTCCAGACAAATGTCCAAGAAGCCATTCTCAACTACAGTTTTACTTGTAGTAGTGTATCTACTTTCCTGAGTCTCTGCTTTGCAAATTTCTGCTGAGAAAAGGAATTGGCTTTTTTTGGGCAAGCGAAGTAAGAAGAAGCTGTCATCACTTTTTAATTTCGAAGCCTGGGATTCAAGTGAAAGCACTGGAGTTTACCTGGCCAGCAGAAGAGGGACTAGCACAGTTCTTCCGATAGCAGGCTAGGATCTGGGCACACTGGTTGATGAGTGCATCTCGTACAGTCTTCACTGGACTACTCAAGACTCCACGATATGCTGCCCAGAGAGAGGAAAGAGATGGACTGCTGTCAAGTGATTGCTCAAGAACAGCAAAACCCCAACACTACTTCCACAAAAGAAATCTAAACAACTATTGTTTATGGAAGCCTTTATTCTTCCCGCTTCAGATTTCTAGGAAAATGACAATATATTCCTATTGAAAACCTGAAGAAGCTCATTTACTCCCTTTTATTACATAATCTCGAACTCTATCTCCTACATACTTAAAATATACTTATCATAATTGAAAATATGGGGTTGTATAAAAACTCCTTTTATAGACTGGCCATCTTCCATTAATGGTCTGAAAATTGACTGTTTCCTTTATTTTAATGGCAATAAACATACATAACTCTCAATCTCTGTTGGATTTCTAGGCTTTTACTGCAAGCTAGAAAGGATAAATAGGGTACAGTGCATAAGTGTATGACATTTAACTCAGATCTATGAACACGGGCCACCATTTCCTATTGTGAAAACAAAATTCTTCAGTAGTTAAGCAATGAACTAGAACAGCCCAAAAATAAATACAAGCATGAATTCAGACAGCTGGCAATACAAACTGTTATTAAAAACATTTAGAAAATAATTTAAATGAAGAATAAGCCTACACCCTCCATCTGTACCTCTTGTCCTAAGCAGCAATACAATCATCACAGCTTTATGCTCTTTCCCATAACTGACTGAAGTATCAGAACTGCCACCTGACATTTGAAGCAGGAAGAATAAACAGGTGTCACTGGGTGACAAAACAGGCATTTTAGTAGTTACAGGCTCTAATTCTTGTTTCCATATTTACCCTTACCATACTTAGCCAAGTAGTTGATGAGGGTGTCAGTCTCACAGTTCCGATAGAGGTCAGCAAGCTGCGTGCAGCAGTTTAAGGAGAGATTGTGAATGCGGAGTCGTCGCTGTCCTGCACAACTTGTATACAGCAGAGCACACTGCAGGAGACGAAAATGCCAGGAGACAAAGAAATTAATAAGAAGGGCAGGGTTAAAATATACTTTATTAAAAGCTAGGACTCAGATGCAAAACCAAATAAGGTAACTATGTAAAAGACTCGGACAATAAGCTAAAAGTACATGCTAAGAATCATGGTTAACGAAAGGTAACAAGCAGCAATTTTAGCAGCTGTATTAAGGGACCTGGTCTTAGAAAACAGGACTGTAGGCTGAAGTAGTCTAGGTCACCCTCAGAAGAAGTATGCTGGAAGGGTATGGTAAGATGCAGAAAGAAAGAACAAACAATTCCGTGAAGAAGTGGTGAATAATTCAGTCCAATTACGAACTCACTTCTTCTACAAAGCCTTCCCCCTCACCTGAAGCAGTGCACCACTATCTTCACTCAATTTATCATCATGCTTGAATTCCACTGTGATTGTTTTATCACAGTCCAGACCTGCCATCTCTACATCAGTTGTGTTGCTCATATAGAAAGCTCCAAAAAAGTCTGTTGCTCTAATACCTAAAGAGAGAAAAACCCAACATGAACCACTGTTTTCAACAAAATATAAAGACAGCCAGCCTTTTGACCCTGACACCAAGTTATCCTGACAGATTTCAGCAGGGATCTTTGCAGACTCAACCAAAGTCTTAGAATTCCAACACTTTAGCAGAACTTTTGGGATAGACTAGTCACCATATGTTTTAAATTACAGGAAGATTTCTTTCTTCCCATGCTTGAAGTGGTCAATTTATTAAGGTTCCTCCATGCTAACACCCACCTGTGCTTGTGCGCACTCTCATTACAGCATCAAATCCCACTTCTTTCTGGACATCCCTCCTCAAGTCATTCAGGAATCTGTACTGGTCTGTCTCCAGCTAGAAGGCAAGCAGTAATTGAAGTTTCACTTTTTCATAAATCATACTGGCTTCATAAATCATAAAGTAATTTAAAACCAGATACTACCTCCCGTGGTCTTACTTTAAAAGTCAGCTGTGATAGGCTCAGTGGCCTGCTAATAAAATATTGTGCTAAGAGGCAAGAGCCTAGCTCTTCCTGTTGGGTTTTGTTATTAACAGATTTTTGTATGAAGACACAAAACTACCAAATAATTTTGCTGATTATCTTGAAATCTGAGTAGAAATTTACTTCCAAAGAAGTATTTCTTCACTGTGGTTTCCACTATGAAAAAAAGAACTCTCAGCTAAACAGTAATTCTTACTTGGATCAGACAGCAGTCTGAGTCAATGTCACTCCTACCTGGAAATACGCATACTTAAAAATGGAGCCTCCTGTCTGGTAAGGTACCACACCCAGCGTGGCCACATCCAAATACTGGTTTGGAAACAGGAACAGATCCACACAACAGCCCTGCGCCACACAGTCCTTGGCCAAGTTGTTGTAAAAGCTCGTCTGTGGTTGAAACAAAGTCTAAGAAAAGAAATCAGAGATGACATCAGAAATTCATCCAGGAAAAGCAAAGTGAGATCTAGTTTATAGTCCCAATCAATACTCTTATACTTTAAGTCTTTCTTCAGAAAATCTTTCTTCAAGTCTGTCTTCAAATAGAATCATTTACATTCTCCCTGACTCTGCCTTTGAAGAACTGTTAATTATTATGAAAATTACTATGCATTTTGCTTTAATTGTAAATTCAGCACATTTACTTTAACCCAGATTTGGTATTTTACCCTGTGTAATAATCTAGGGCTAACTCTTGTTCTCAGACTAGAGCTGTCCTTATGATACCAAGTCTCCATAGCCCTGCTTGGGAACAGAAGATAAAAGTGGAATGTTAAAAGATATGGGACAGTTACAGTATGTGCTATCCTTGTAATTTTTTAAATGCTGTTTCAGTTATTTTATTCCATAAAAAGCATAATATACACCTTTATGTAAGGATTATGCAAACTATTATTACCTTCTCCTTATCTGTGTTGATCAGTTTCCTATCATCCCTGTTCTTTAACTTTCCTGGAGCCTCTGCAATGGGCAGAGAGGTGTGGAAAATGAAGAGCTTGCCAGCACACTCTGCTGCCTGCAGGAAAGCGAGTGCAATAACAGAGGTTAGAAAGATTTACAAAAACTGTAAGGGAAGTTGTGATTAAAGAACAAACATTCAAGCGACCTCATCACTCTTTTAATGTCAGGTGATACCAGACACACAGGCTCACTCTCACTTGGTTATGTGACTAGTATCCAATGGAAGGAGCACAAATTACTGGTCAGTTACAGAAGAGCAAGTTTGAGCTCTACTGGCTTTGTGCTAATTCCATAGCAGGGAGAAAAGGACTTTCTCCAAGGAGAGAGAACAGTAAGCAGGACCCAAATACAAAAGGTTTTGTGCGTATGTGTTGCATTGTATCCTTCCCTGATTTACAGTTACTGAATTTGTGGGAAAAAGTCACAGAAAAGGCAAAGAATTTTGTAATCTGAGCTTCAACAGATCAGCAATTTTAAACCAACACCCCGTGCCAACATTAGCTAATGTTTAATAGGTTTTTTCTCTGACACATGCAGTATGTAAAAAGTCAATTAGCAATTTTTACTATTTCTTGATTGAACAATTGTAACAAAAACTTGAGTTTAAGAGAGACTTTTAAGGATCATTCCCCCTGTACTCAGCACTGGTGATGCTACACCTTGACATTTTGGGCCCTTCACTACAAGGACATTGAGATGCTGTAGTATGTTCAGAGAAGGGCTATGGAGCTGGTTAAGGGTCTGGAGCACAACTCTTGCTTGAAGAGTGAGAGAACTCAGGTTGTCCAGCCTGGAGAAAAGGGAGGCTCAGGGGAGATCTTCTTGCTCTCTACAACTACTGAAAGGAGGTTGTAGTCAGGTGGGAGACAGCCTCTTCTCCCACTTAATATGAGATAGGACAAGAGGAAATGGCTTCAAGTTGCAGCAATGGAGTTTTAGATTAGATATTGAGAAAAACTTCTTCACGGAAATGGTTGTCAACCACTGGAACAGGCTGCCTAGGGATCCCTGGAGGTATTTAAAAGATGTGTAGAAGTGTCACTTAGGAACATGGTTTAGTGGAGGATTTGGCAGTATGGGGGTAAGGGTTGGGCTTATTGTAGAAGTCTTTTCTAACTAAAATGATTCACTGCCTGATGTGACAGACAAATAGAGCTGTGTCAACAGGTTGGGGTGAAGTCATACAGGCTTCAAAATCAATTTGATCAGTAGATACAAATCAGAGTTAAACCATGCATGTAATTATGTCTGGATGAAGTACTAGAACAGAATAACTTTAGGAAAAGTTTACTTGGTTAGCACATTGTTGCAGGCAACTTCAAACTTCTCTCCTTTTATTTAAGATTCTACCAGAGTACAGGATTAAAAAGACACCGAACTATAGAACACCTCCATGAGACTTAACAGACTTCAGCACCTGTTTTTTAATGCTGGAGGGTCTTTTTTTTCCCCTGTAGGTTCTGTAAACTGTTTAAAGCAAAACCCAGACAGACAACTGAGAGTAAGCCATACTCTTGCACTTTGAAAAACATTATTTAAAAAAGAATTGGGTAAAGAATATACAGATAGCTGCACAAAACAGAAGGTTCATGCACTTCAAGAATGAGAAAAGTACTCCCTACATGTAGTGCATCTACTACAAGGAGCTTACAAAATCTTTAGAATTGTCTTATTAGTGTATATTAGCAGAATATGAACTACATGCATCTACTAACCTTCAGTGCCTCCAGCCCTGCTTGAATCACAGGTGCAAAAACAGTTTCTGTTTCTCTTGTGTCTGCAAACATTTCTGGAATCTGATCCAGTAAACTAGCAAAGAACATGAAAAAAAAGAGCAATTCAAGACCCCATTTAATAAGAAAAGCTACACAGTTGTAGTTGAGGATTTACAGAATTAAGGTGGTTTAAACAGAAATCCCTAATATGTCTGTAAATTTGCATAACTTTTACAGTATTTGGCATCTCATCTGTGAAAAAATGCTGTATTGTTCTCCATTGGCTTCTCTCATCTATATCCTCAGTGCCTTCTGTATTGCCTCAAGTGATGCCTATTCCACAGATCTTCTGTATTTCTTATCTTTTAATGTATTCCAGTATACATAGGTAGGTAAATTCTTAGGAAGTACTAGTGACATTTGGCCTCTGTCAAGCATTTTGTGTACTACTCAAAGATTAATTAAAGGTTTAACCTACAGTTTTGTATTTAGGCTTGTTTAATGCATTAAAAAGCAGGCTAGAAATTTTATCTAAAAACATGCAATTCCAGGTCTATTTCCCAAAATGTAGTTAGCTACACACCATAGATTAACTACAGTTCAAGTACCACAGTAAACAGTTGGCCAAAACTTTGTTAACTTCTTTCTTTCCTTCAGATTTTAACTTCTCTATCCCACTCACTCTGTTTTATCTACAGAACCAAAATTGGACACCCTTGTTGTCTCAGTTTGTAGTTATTTAAGCAGTTGACTGAAAGACAGTGATTCAGTATTCTTACAGCATTCACTCTGCATCATCCTAGTTGTGTTTTGCTGTGGCTTTATTTTAGGTGGGTTTTTTTTTTTGGCTTGGATTTTGTTTGTTTTTCCTCTTTTTCTCCTCAGAAATGCTCTTCTGCACTAATTGCCCTTATATACACTTTCTGCCAAGCTGGACTATGAGCCAAATAAACCCTTAGCCCTTCAATTTCCTCATCCTACCGTGCCAGCTTAATCTCAAAGAGTATAGTAAGTTAAAATACAAGGAGTGACTTTACTTGATAATTAAGCACACAACATTTGAATCTACCAAACAAGTATTTTACTACACACATTGTAAATCAATTTATATTACCTGGCAATAACTGTCCTGGACTCATTCACATTCACCAGAAAACCATCAAGGAGTGGCACAAACATATCTGCCACATCTGAGACCACCATCATTTGCGGCTGTGCCAGTGAGCTCTTCACATTATAGAAATGCAGAACTTTGTTGTAGGTGACAAAGCCTACTCGAATGGCTGATTCCTCCATGTTCCCTTCCCTGTAAGAGATATACTTGCCTTCATATCCAAGAAGAGGGATAAACCATTACTTATAACAAACACATTAAGGGAAAAATGAAAGGAAGTAGAATTTATTTTCACCTAGAAGGGTATCAAGAAAGATGTTCTAATTGGCCTTTTTCTGAAGAAAAACTTGACAGGATTATCAAGTAATTTTTAAGCTTCTAGTATTTTTTAAAGAGAAAAAATAACAGCATTCCCCATTTGCATTGACAACAGTAGTTCACAATATACCTACCTGGGCAGGTAATCTAGGAGTGACTTTAATTCTTCACATATTAGCCTCACTAAGCCACTCTTCACAGCATTGTAAGACACATCAATCATAAAAATGAAAGCAGGTGGACTAGGAAACTTGTTATTCTGTGGAAGAAAGGGAAGAAATCACACTATTGCCATGTAATGCAGATCATGTAACAGCTCCGTAACACAGATAAATCCATGCTGGTCAAAACGTAGCTGGTTTCATGTACCTCTGTAATCATGAGCAGCAGTTGTTTCTTAAGCTCTCTCTCCCGTCCTTTTCCAACTAACAGGCATAGTATCGTATTATGTTTGAAATTGACTGGTATTAAATGCCCTAGACTGACTTTACCATTGATCAGAGAAGAACAGTTATAACTAAATAATCGATTTACATGACTAAGCTAGATTGGAAAAGTAGACAGGGAAGGTTTTTGTCAGTTCTCAAGACTTTGGACTCTGACCAGACTTGTCATAGGTGATTCCATCAATATAAAATAAAATATTTTCCTCTCCAAGGATTACAACCTTTTCCTTCTTAAAAATCTGGCTTTCTTTGGGAATGGAAACCTTATTTTAGTCAATAGTTTTCTGAAGTTTATAGGTCATACTGGAACAAGCACTCAGAACAAAAGCAAAACATAAGAACTTTCAAAAAAGCTGTGATGATCACATTTTGTTTGATTCAAAGTTCTTCTTACACTGTTAGAAAAGAATTGGACTTTTGCTTAACTCAAAGTAAAGCAGAGGCATTAGAAAGCAACCAGTATCAACTTGCAACATTTAGGCATGTACTTCTCAGCATAAAATTTCAGCAGAGATATAAGTTGCTTTAATAAATACCTTGCACATATCTTCCCTATTCCTTAGAAGTTAATTATTATTTAAATCTTTAATTTAAAAGTAAACCAGCTATGAAATATACATTTCCACATTATTCTTGTGCTTCTAGTCACTATAGCTGTATTTGAAATTGAAGTTCAATAGGTAAGGTCTGCCTTGGGGAACAGGTGGCACATTGCATAGTTACTATTGTTCTTGCATTGAACCTCTCCTACAATTCCCTTTTCTGCCAAGGACTACTGCACAAGAATCCCTTCCTAAGGTAAGTGCAGCTATAGCTGCTTATATAGCTCCAGGACAGAGACAGCTATTAAATTATATTATGTCATGTGTGATATGGACCTCCACTGGTTTTGTAAGTAGGCAAACAAGCATGTTATTTTACACAATAAAGTGGGCTGGATTAATGCTGTTAATTATCTCTGCCAGCCAGAAATCAGCCCCAGACAATTAATGTCTTTCTTACTTTCTAGAAAATAGTCTTTTTACTTAAAGGCAAAATAAATACAGCAATAAAAACATACTACTGTACCTTGCAATAGTCAACTGTTGCTAGAAACTCGTATGACCCCAGTGATAACTCTGGTCGGTCATAGAAATCTACTCGCTTTCCAGTGTGATCCAAATGTTGGAAGTAGTGAGGTGGAACTGGGAAAGGAAAAATCATTAAGCTCAGTGATATCCCATAATAAACACTGTAACTAGAGAGCCAACATGACAACAGCTGTTTCAAACAAAATTCCAGAAAAGTAAACTAGCACTTTGGTCTAGCACAGAAGTACTAAAAATATTAATGCAATTTAAGAATATCATTCAAGCAAAACAATACAAATTTATTGCAGTTTGTCTCATGCACCTGACAACACACAATATAGTTACTGTTATACATTTCTTGACTCTCCTTTCCATTTCATTTTACATTTCATATCAGAAACATCACCACAATACACTTAAAGGATTATTCTGAAGGATCTAGTCCAAAGGAAAATACAACCATCCCATATAAGTAGTAACAAATTATTTAAGAGAGGGTCTTAGGCAAACTACAGGCTACAGCATTACTGACTCAAGTCAGGCTTAAAATACTGAGCTCCTTATTTTGCTATATAAGTTTGTTTTTCCTTTCCTTCCTGTGCAGCATTAGAGTGAAGCTTCCAGGCACCCTCGTGTGCAGAGACTCCCATAATGTTTTTAGCAGAATAGAAAGAGCACTTACTCTTTCTATTGAAAGAGTGGATTAAGGAGGAGGAACAGAAGTACAACCACATGCCCAGAACCCAGTACTTCTGTGTTGGTACAAGGTATCAGAAAATAAACTGGGAGTGAAGCTAAATTTTAGCCTACAAAAGTCAGCTGCAGAAACAAAGTATTTCCCTTGTGCCCCAAGAACTATCATGACAGACGCTCCCTCCTGCAGAAGTACTTAGGTGACAAAATTTATTCTGGCTCTAGATATCTATACAGACCCAGATTAAAATGAGATTACCTGGAATGACATTATTCACCACATTTAAACTATTCTAAGCATTCCAAGTTTCAAAAGTTCAAAGAAAACAAAATTATATCATTAAGACTATATATAAGCTTTTATCACTCTTTTCTCCAAGTACACATCCTATTCAAGCTAAATGCCTGATGGTATTTGCAGAGAGAACAAAAATTGTTATTAAGTTTTAGGTAAAACTACATTGTGTTTTCACAGTATTGCTTTCATCAGCAGTCTCTCAGCATCCCTCCCTTTTTGCCTCTGCTCAGCTGTTACAGGTACAGCCCTTCACACAGCTGCTGAATGAGCAGGACAGGGAGTGCATGCAGGCAGAAAATCACCAGACAAAATTGTTTTTTAAAGTTGGCCATTTCTAATCCCCATTTTGGTTAGTACAAACAGTTGTACAGCATGACTGAGGTGGTAAGAACAGTCCATTAAAAGCCATCAGTGCTACCAAATGGAACACTGAAAACATCATCATAAGGTTCATTGCACCTTACTTTCCACTGTGCCTTCAAAACAAATCTATAAATGTCATGCTATGAGCAGCTCATTGTGACTTCTGCTTAAAAGGAAGCATGTTTTGTACTAACTTAGAAGAGCAACTAATATTAACTGGCCTGTACCAAACACTCTTATTCAGCTGTAGCAGATTTAACTGAAATCTCATCTCTGAGGAGTGTTAGTGAGACAAAAAAAAGGCTTTGTGAGAAAAAAAAATCCTAACACATCCTACTGACTAGATCTATATCTCAGTCTGTTAAAAAAGCCCATACTTTTGAAATACCAAAAGAAAATACAATAGACTTTTAAATCACCAGGCATCATGCTACAAATACCTCATATTAAAAATCTTCTACAATATTACAATGCATAAGCACCTTTTTGAACACAATTTCAGAATTGAGCACTGAACATGCCTTCCAATAATTTTTTACAAGACTAGACACATACTAAGTCACAGTATTCATTATAAATGATCATAACATAATCAAGACTTATTTGCCTGCATCTTGTTCAAAGACCTTTCCAGCAGAGCTCCAGAGAGGGATTTCCAGAAGAAACCTTACCCTCAGTGACACAGCTGCAGAAACAACACTGGAACCTCCTTCCACCTTCAATGAATTGCATAAAAGGGCACATGTAAGCTTTGCACCTATTACATCGGACAGGACCGGATTCTCCATGGTCTACCAAATAAGGAACAGTCTGTGGAAGCAAGAGAAAAAAACAAGAAAAGAAAGGGTCTCATGATGATGAGAAAGTTTTAAGCTTCGCATTGTGTGGTCATTTCTATCTCCCTGTACACTGCATAGGATTTAGCATTTGGCAGCTATGGGAGAGAATACAGGGGATGTGGGAAGCCTGAACAAGTATTTAAGTGCTTTGCAATTCAAGCTCTAGCACAGCAGTATTTTGAGGGCTAGAGTCATTAATGGGCTACCCCACCTAGCCAGTAGCTTGCTTGAAGAACACGACCACATTGCACCACCAGATGTATCCCAAGTGAACGCAAAAGACTGAAAGTGACTCTTCACCTCTTATCTCTTCCCCTTGCAAAAATCAAGCTTTTTGACAAAAGAAAAGCCAGTCATTGCATTCTATATATTCCAGAATATAGAGTATCTACCTCAAAAATTTCTACCTGGTAAGACTTATTTTCAACTCCACCATGAAACACATTATAACTACAATCTCTTAGTGACTTGACCCCACTGTACACCAAGTCCCCAAAACTTGTATACAGTGACACCATTTTTGAACTATTACTTATATGATGTTCTTTTTGTGCCCAAACCAGAATAAGATGATTGGCAACTTCTGCAGCTTCTCAACATCAGAACAAGAGGGAAGCACTTGCAAATGATTGAGACAAAACTCATGCAAGTTATACGCTGCATTCATAGTAAAAAGCACCTATGTTTACCCACTAAGCTAAAAACTTAGCTCAAAAATTTAACTACTTGCTTTCAAATTTTCTGCCAGTAAAGGCGTCTGGTCTTAATTCTCCCAGTTACCCTAAATCTATGATTATGTTTAAGAGACAACATATTCATTGAGCAGCAGATGAGCAGATGCTCCAATCACTTTCATCTTCATGCCACAGATGTGTTATGTCTTTTTATTCAACTCCACTAATCATTTAATGGCAGTACAATGGTTTTGCAGACAGCATTTCTTATTTCCTATAGCCCAGGCTAACCTCCTCAGAGGAAACAAATTTTCAAGTTTTCTGATTGGCAGGCAATGTTGGTACTGTACCTCAAGAAAATTAACACAACTTTCTTTTCCTCAACTCCTCCATCTGTAACATGTAAACAAATTACCAGGGTGCTGGAAACAGTCAGCACAATACATAACTCATCATTAACCACTTACTCCCAGAAGACTGAGATACTTCTTGCCAAAGCCTGAAGCTTGGTTTTCTCAACAGCATGTAACATAGGGCAAAGGTCCTGGATTTGGCTGAATTTTTATATTTCCTAAATTTATCCAAATGCTTCTGTTTCATAAGATATTATTTTCATGAAACATTTATCCCTTCTTTTGTGTAACGCTTTAGCTCTATTTACAGTCCTGTTGCTCTGAACAGCTGAGTCTTCATCTGTTGGAAGGGCCCCTCCACAGTGGGTTTGCCCTTGCCATAAAGAACTTCAAAACAGTAGAAGCTGACTGGTCTCCAGGACAATTTTCCAATGCTAGCCTTTTTTTTTCTGGACACCACAAGTATTTGTTCAAAGTATAAAACACATCAGGAGACCAAACAACTATTATTTGTACATTTTCTCTAAAAATGTTTCACTCTACATGCCTCCAAGTTTCTTAAGTAAGACCTTATTATCCTACTGTGGTCCTTTTAAACTTCAGCCACAGATCAGTTTCATTATAAACCAGTTTTTAAAATTCAAACCATAGTTTAGGGACACTAATGAAATGCAACAGGACAAAAACACCCTTAAAAGACCAGAGGAAATGGCTTTCCTCAGCAGATGCTACATTTAGGTTTAAAAGGGCACAGAACACTGCAGACCTATGTATTCAAATTTAAGCCTGTTTCTCTTTGAGTCACTGCTCCAAGCAGGTTCACACTACACAACAGCCAGAGTATTTAGACTACTTTAAAAAATGTCAAATTCTGTAAAAGTCTCTGAGCTTTCATGTTCTCAGCAATCAAACATGAGTGGGTAAAAGGCTCAACAGCCGCACATTACATCAAGAAGGAAATAAGTGTTGAGAGAGAAGGGGCAGAAATACAAGTGCAGCTCAGCAGTGCTCAGTACTCAGTGTAGTGCTGTCATCCCACACAGCGCTGTGCATATACATGCATCTTAGACAGCCAAACCAGTGCTGTTCCATACATTCTTATCCAATTTCACAACCTGGCATTCTAGAAAAGACTTCATACCTATGATTAGCAACCATTTAAATACTTCAGACTAAGAAATAAACTGAGATCAGCAGGAAGTGTACACCTCTGTGACCATCCTAGTATTTTGGTCACTTAGTCACAGTGCTTAACAGCCACTGCAAAAAAGCTGAAATTATCATGGCAGTCAAAATACTAAATGCTTTTAACACAACATTATTCTGCTTTACAGGTATCTACCACACACCTGCTGGAGAACCAATGTTTACCTGGTCTTCATCACCTCAGTATGCCTTCTACCCATATGTGTTCAATGCTGACACCTGAGAAGCTCTCCTGTTGAGCACATACAGCACACATAACCCCACGCACGGCTCTCACCTCCTCCGGCGGCAGAGCAGCCAGCGGCTTTATGACGGCAGCCAGGGGAACTTGGGATTGTTTGGCCATGTCAGACGTGCAGGGAATATTGTAAGATGTGCACCTGATGTAGCGGGGGCTTGCATTACCTGGGGAACACATTAAAAAGCCCCACAAATTTCAGTACAAATTAAGTTTATATTCAAGAACAGAAACAAAGATACTTTAAGCTGTGTCATTAAGCCACAGACACTATGAGTTTAGCTAAATATTCAGTTTTAATCTATGGAAAACCTGAATTCCAAATAAAATGCCTCTTCTCATGATTACCTATATATAATAAAAGGCCTTAAAATAAACTAGACTTAAATAAACTAGACTCCCTGTCAACCTAAACCTATAAAAAAGCATTTCTGTTTCATATATTCGCAGACTAAAACATAATGCAGACAGAAAACTCTACTCAAACATTTCTACTGTTTTGTTTTGTAATTTAGGCTGAAGAGTAAAATACTGGATTATAGAATCAGATTCTGAAGTTTTTCCTCGAACTTTACAACTCAAAAAAGGTGTCAGCAATTAAAAGATGAAATATATTTTCTCTACAGAGCCCTTAGACCAATATACATCCCTCTTAATTTAAAAAAATACAGTTGCTAGTCGAATTTGAATGATGTTGCTAGTAGATTTCAGTTCTTAAAAGTCTTTTATAAAGCTCTACAGAAGAGGCTTCCTCTGCTGCTTTGTGATATCTCTGCTAATGCTGGTCCTAGGTATCTGCCTTGGAAAACATTTTTCACCTGCAAATTGGTTACTAGCTACCAAACAATCAGGAGAATCTAAACTGAGATCAAATCAACACAGGACCTGAAACTAAGCTTCTGTTGGTTAACGTTTCCTTTAAAGACACAGGTCTGTCACTGACTTTTTGGGATTTGTGTTTTGTTTGCTTGTTTAGGCAAAGAAAAATAGTTTACCTTGATCCTTGACCAAGAAATTTGTAGTAACAAGAGGTGGGACCTGCCCTCTCACTCCAGTGACAAATGGTTCTGACCCACGGTTATTTCTGTCATCTTCAATCACTTGAATCTGTGATGGAAAATACCATGTTGTTATGTTGAGGCTTAGTTTCTAAGTACTGTAAAATAAAAAATCTCTAAGGCAGTAAAAAGGGGACCTGAGGCAAATATTACTATCACTAAAAATAGGAAGAGCAAGTAAATTTTCTCAAGCAGTCACCTCTCAGTTTGATTTCAAATACTACTTAAAGACTAACAATAAATTACAAGCTGTAAATAGTATTTTTCCCCAAGCATTCTTAGTAGAAGCATATTTTATGTTTTTAAGTCCAATCTGAACTCATAAAAGCCAAATTCAGATCAAGAAAAGAATTTTTGGTAGTATTCCACAGTACAGTTCTAGTCAAATAAGAATTAGAAGCTTCTGTAAGCCTCAAGCTGAAGTCCTAGAGGTAACCTGGCTTTTTCTTTCCATTATGATCCCACTGTTTTCATAGTATGCCTCTATTTCTAACCAATCTAACTCTGACCTAAAGATAGATGGCTTGCAAGCTCATGTGGAAGTCTTCATTACTTTGTGGTGCTCAAGAGTTTGTGATTTGAATTCTGGAAATGTGGAAAGTGAAATTTCAATAGACTTGTCAATAAATTAAACTTCAAAGCCTGCAAAAATCTTAAATTTCTTGGTATTTCCAATTCTTCCCAACTGCAAATTTGCAAAAGATAACAGAAACATATTAAATAGTTTGTCTTAACTAAAATATTCACTGACCTTTGTAGCTGTACACAGCTCAAACAACATTTCCTTAGTGGTGACTGAATGAAAGAATTAAAGCTAGCAATCATTCTTCTGCTCTTATTTTGCCATCAAACACACCTGCCTTTGCCTAGAGTAAATTCTGAAATGCAGATGTTTGCACGGCAGAAACTCCACCCTCTCACTACAGATTGCAAGCAGAAAGCCTCCCATAGCTTCAGTGACTACTCTAGAATAAATCTAGCCCCATTTCATAAGTCTACGGGCTGACTGATGATGGTGATCTCACCACCGGTACCGGTTAAATTATGAACTTTGACTACATGAAGAAGAAGTGACACGTGGTAACAGAAACCCAAAAGTTTTTTTTGCCTTCCAATCCAAAAGGTAGCTGCTTTTTTTCCTTCTTTAGATAAGATTCTCCAACATAAACATTAAATTTTCAAATTAAAAATTTAATGGTTATGAATGAGCACAGATTATGAGAGAATGTTTATAGCTCCCCATGCCACATATGAGAAGATTTGTATCAGGAATTAACTTTTAAAAAACTCCAGTTTATCTGCAATTTTAGAATTCCAGAGCACTGGTCCAGGACTGGTGTATCAACAAGAACAGTAATCAAATTCTGATCAAAACACAGTAAAAAACATGGCTACAACAGCTCATGCTGTGTACATGCTGACATGAGACACACATATGGGCAATTACACAACCAGCTTACACTGAAAATGCCAGCTGGAATCTGATGAAGGCAATATCCTAAAGATCAGACAAAGTGAAGGGGAGACATTCTTCATGATCTGTTTCTGAAACACTGCTTTCTATTGCCTCACCATTCATCACAGTAGATTTTAACAGCCTCATGTGGTGTAATGTTACACATTTTGATAAGGCAAGCAGAAGACAGCAAGGAAAGGGTAAAAGTTTAATGATGGAGCGTTAGCAAGGTGAAGTTCAGGTTTCAGGCATGCACAGATGGTCACCAACACACAGACTACAATTGACATATACACAGCACTTACTGGACTAGGAATTGCATCTGGGTCTATTCTGTGCCTGGGTTTCTGCTGGGGTGGCAGCTCATTAAGTTGCTTTTTTTTTTTTTAATAAGAAATAAGAGCGCCAAAAAAAGGGAAAAAAAAAGACAATAATAAACCAAAAAGTAATAGTGTTACTTCTCTCTACCCAAACCTGCAGCACTGGAATTAGATACATTTAGATACTGGTTCATGCAACAGGACACATGAGCTTCTGCAGCATACACTGATCCCAAAACCAGTCTTGCAAGGATATTGGGCTTGGCTCTGAACACCTTGCTAATGGAGGCAGTGGCTCACCTGCTAATTTTGATTAGAAATTGAGGATTTAGGCTTTAAGAACATGCTAACATGAAGGCAACCGACACAAGCCATTTGAGATTTCATTTAGTGGAAGAAAAGAGGCAGACAAGCAATTAAAGACTCATATTCTGTAGAAAAATCCAGCAGTAAGCTTTACATAAACCTGGAATTTAAAGAGGTAATCTTTTTTAAACAGAAGTACCTTCTGAATAAAATCAGTTCCAATGTAACTCAAGACTACATTATTTCATATATTTGAAGTACAGAAACAGCATCAAGAGCAGTGGAAGGAACAGCACAGTAGACTAGTGGCAATACTCCAACAGACTTAATATTACTCAACATTGCTAACCATTACATATAACTGCTTATCCTGTCTCAGAACCTCAGTTTGAGAAGCTGTCCATATTTGACTGATGTAGCATCATGACTTCATGACCCAAAAAAACACAAACCAGCTTTTTGACAGATTATAGGAAAAGCACTACAATCACCTCCTACTAACCATACTTTAAACATAGACCACACAGTTCACAGACTGTCACCTCAAAACTGTAATTAGTTCACCTTGGAAAGTCATTATGCAAGAATCGAGAAATGAAGAAACATGTTTAATCAAAGCCCTCAAGGATTCTCAAAACATAACATAGTACGGAAAAAGACCTGAGGAATTAGAGCAGTGATTTCTATATGTAGTGCCTTTCTTTAGTCACCAAGAAAAATACTGCCTCTGGGCTTATTCATCACAGAAGACTGAAGCTAGATAGAAGAGAGAAACATAAGCAGGAAAAACAGACTGGTGTTCCTTGGAATGAGAAACCTGTTTGCAGCTTAGGTCTTTGTCAATTGTTTTATGCAAAGACACTACAGAAGAGTTGACACTGGTAAGAACAAATAAGCTTACAGGGCTAGGAATGGAATCTGGATCCAAGCGTTTTGGTGGAGGTGGTGGTCCAGGAGGACTTCCATAATTTGGTGCTCCTGGATAGGCTCCTCCATAGTTTGGTGGAGGACCCCTCATCTGTCCAAAGGAACCTTAACAAGAAAAGAACATAAAAATCAAACAGTGCCTTAATACTAGCATTTCTTTATTTAGCACTTCCCCTATTTCCTGCCATTATTAAAAAAAAACCCTCAAGAAAATTAAAGTCAGGTGCTTTTCACTTAATTATGATTAAACATATTTATCACAGTTTATTTATTTATTTCAGCTTAGATTGGTACATCTCTATCAACAATCCAGTAAACTGAAACTGATAGATACAGTCCACAAAACTAGACCTAAGGAAACAGAGGATTTTAGTCTAAACTCTATTAGCTCTACCTCACCCCAAATCAGGACACTACTGTTAAGTAGTTTTAGAGTTTGTAATTGTTGATTACAATGCACATTAAGATCATGCACTATGAATATTTACCTGCAGAACTGTCTAATGGAAAGTGCACACAGAACAGCCAAATAAGCTAGTGGACAATCCCTAATTCTTCAAATTAAAGATATGCAAGCAGTTCCCTTGGGCTGTTTTAGCTTGTTTGAAATTACAATAATAGGTTAATGTGTGGTTTTCTCTTCTGTTTTGTAACTATCTGAAGCTATTTCGTATTATTTTAGACAGTTACTTAGAGAGTAACAGCATGATTTAACCCATTAGCATTTTTAAGGGTCATAGGAATTTGAACAGATATCTTTAAGTAATTTACCTGTCCAGCTCTGCAAAGCTGCATGGGGAATGAGATTCTCAGTCCTAACATCTACACATGATTACTTTATCCCAGCTATCTCTAAGTGTTATCTATTAAAAACCAGCCAAAACTGGCTTTAATTCAGAAAGCTTAACTGGTCTTACTTTTAAGTACGTTTAAGATGTGCAAGCTTCTATAAGGGATAAAAATATCGTTATGCAAATTAAAGGAGAACATATAGCAACTCATTTTTCAATGTTTAACAACTCCTTTCATTACACATTGCATATGCACAGTGACCAAAATTTTAAAAAATATAAAATAAGGCTTTCAGCATTTCCAATGTCTATTTTTGAACAGCTGAAGTTGCAGACATCAAACTGGAGTACAAAATAAAATTCTGATCACAAATTTTGGTAGTATTATGGACCTAATTGCTAAACACTTTTTTGGCCAAGTAAGCTAGAATTCTTTTACTTACATTAATCTGATTAAAAACTGTACTATGAAGTATCTTAGAATAACACATGATATCTCAGACATGAGCACAGGGAAACAGGAGGGACTCGGCCAGGAGCCCACAGCTGACAATGTAAAATCTAGTCCTCAGTTTGCAGCATACAGAGAATATTTAATTCCTATACTAGGAAGACTCACCATTCTGCTGCATTTGGTATCCTGGCTGAGGAGGATGAGTGGGAGGAGGTGGTCCATGGAGACCACTCATGGGAGGCCCAGGGTGCAGCCCTGCCATAGTTGATGGAGGTGGTGGTGAGGATACATGATTAGGCTGGGATGATGGTGGTCCAGCAACTGTCTGCCCAGGCAGTGGTGGGCCTGGCATGGCAGGTGGCCTTGGAGCACCTGTGGTAGGAGGGTAAGAGGAAGGTCCAACCCCTGTAGAAGGAGGAGGTGGGGTAAAACCAGGAACTTGAGTAGGCAGGTGCTGAGTTGATATTGTCTGACCAGGAAACGGAGGCTGTGCCAAAGGAAGACCCTGAGACACACTGGTAAGAGGGGGTCCTTGGCTTGCACTGTAAGGTGTGTAGAGACCAGATCCTGTTGCACTAAAGCTTCCTGAGACTGGAGGAACCGATGCTGGGGAACCCGGTAAGAAAAAAAAAGATATAACATCATTTTCTTCTATCCTCAAGACAATTAAGATGCAAGAAAAACCGATTTGCTCCAGATCACCTGAGAAAATCTACCCCTTTCTCATCTTCAGATGAACTTACCAGTACTAGCAGAGACAAATCCTAAATGACCATTCTCCTAGATTGATCAGAGAGCCGAAATTCCTTCAGTGGATCTGAAACTCCATAGTTCTTTCACTGCCTTCTCTCAAAGTCTAAGCTACTTATTTTACACAATCATAATACATTTCAGGATTCAGGGCCAGAAAAAAAAGGGTAAAGCCAGGAATATGCAAAACATTAACCACAACAAGTCTATCCATAGATTTTTTGAACTAAGTTTCTGTCTTAAACTCCACACTCAGTTGGAGCCTGTAGATCAAGAATGGTTTTGAGCTCTGTGGTTTTAACAGCATGAAACTAGCACCATTTGTATGTAGTGCTGTACTATTTCTGAAAATAATTTTTGACAAACATGCTGCCAAAAGGCCAAGGAAATCTGTATCCATGACCTACTCCTAATTTTCCTATAAAATCGGTCTTACAAGATGCTTGTTAAAAAGTACTTTAGCAAAACAATTTTTAAATAGACCAATTTACACATAATAAAGACAACTCTAGTCTTCAATTTTAAAAGTCCCCTAATCTACAGCAATAAGACTGTAAAATTATAACCATAAAACAAAATATCTAAATTCAGTTTCAACTGTTAATTCAGTTTCCACTGTTTAAGTAAGTGTCTTCTTGACTTCTAGCAGAACCCTACACACAATCATTCAGAGTATTTTCAACCCTTTGTGATTTACATTTACAGGGCCCTTTTTCTTTTTTTTTTTTTTTTTTTGACTGGGCTGCTGCACAACAGTGGCAAGACATGCAGACTCTCCAACAGGTGACTTAGGGGTAGACTGTTCTGTGTTTCACACGATTCACCTAGTCAAGGACCAATGTTACTACTCTCCTTTGTTATTCATGTCCAGCAGTGCCAGCACTGTTCCCTACAATAGTCTCAGTCCTGTTTTCCCCAATTATGACCTTATTAGTTAAGAAAACTACTGTTTTCTATGGCAGATGTCAACATCCAGAGAATTCCCATAACCATATGGCAATGAATCACTAACAAGAAAAAATCTTGTATGAAATTACTAGCAAAGATGAAAATCAATAGAATACTTCAGTAGCCAGGAAACCTTACCATAGCCCAGTCCAGCTGGGGGAGGAGCAGAGGCTGCAGTACCACCAATTGTCATCCCTGCCATGTGATTCCTGAGCTGCTGCACGCTGGCTGGGGGGGCCCCATATTGCTGGAACGTAGGTATCTGGCTGACAGGCGTGGGTGCTGAGCCTGGCAGGAACGGCTGAGAAGCAGGTGGCCTGAGAGGGAAGATGAAAAACTGAGCTAATTCCTCATTATAGAAGAAATTTCAATTCCCTGTGCCTTTTAAAATTGTTCTGGCACATAAACACTATCTGGGTCTCAGATATTTACATGAAACACTGTAGCTCAGTTTTGGAAAAAAATTACGTATTCTGCATGTATCTGAATCCCTTTCACCAAACAAAAAAAAAAATCTATCCCCTCTTAAAATACAAATTCTGTATTTTTATTAATTCCATTTCAGTTATCACAACAAATCAGAAACACTGCTTAGAGTCCATAGGGTGAGCAACAGTAAGGCCTGCACAGCTATGTAAGAATGTTCTGCCACTCAAAGCATTTGAACTCTGCAGGACTATTGCCACTTTCACCACAGAGGTAACGGCAGTATCTTTCTGGAAAAGATACTGAAGAGCCTAAGATGACACTAACTTCATAAGGGATCCATAAAGGGACAGAAGAGGGTCCAGAATCAATACTAAGAAATTATTCAGCAAAGACTATCACATACTCCAGAGATCATTTCACACTGCTGAGGAACAAATACTACAGTTATGTGGATGCAACTGATTTTTTTTAGGGGAAAATGAAAACCACAAAGAATGTCTTAGGAGAAGAAGAGGTTTTCATCAGTCACTGACATCTGCTCACATTCTTTCACAAATTTTTCATCTCCAGATCTATCATTGTCTAATGATTACCTCTGTGGCAAAACATTGCTCCAAACCAATAAGAAGAAAAAGGTCAATATCTTACAAAATCCTGAAGTACTTAGTTTGATTTAGATCTAAAAAGTCTAGACCTAGTATGAGTCTACCAAGGTGGGATTTTGTTAAAATTCACTCTTCTCATATGCACCTCTGCATTGGAGCTGTTGAGGCTGGAATTCCATTCTGCACATCTCCATGTTCAAACTGACTGTATGCCAAGTGGCCAGAAGGATGAGATGCTCCAGAGGCTGGAGGGGGAGCTCCAGATGTTGGCGGGGCTCTTAATGAACCTACAAACATAAGAAAAAAAATTTAAATATCACAGATTATAGAAACAAGGCATTGAACCAACTACCATGAAAAATTCAAGTGCAGAATTGCTATAACAATACTCCATGAACAACAAATAATTTATGCACAAGTATTTTTAGCCAGTGTCACTAGTTACCATCTCCACACAGGTCAAGCAGAAAGATGTGCTGTGGAAGGTCTTCAAAAGAAAACTTCATCTTTCATGAAGAAGAAAACCCTATCTTGTAAGTAAGGTACCAAATTCTTCCCCCTTCAAGTCCAATTATTTTTACCTAAACCAAGAGTATTCAGTGGAATCTAATGTTCATTACAGGTCAGTTTTCCCTACATCAAAGGTAAGCAGGCTATGCAAGCAGATTCCATTTTCAAAAACTACATGCCTTACTACATTTATATATAGCATAATGGGGGTCACCACAGGCCATTTTTTCCAGCCTCTCAAGGTTGGAGGCTAACACAAATACTTTCCTATCTTTCAGACTGAGCTGGTTCAGTCACAGCCCAAATATATTTGCCTCAGAATCCAGTCTTTCCAAAGACCACAAAATGTTAGATACAATACCAGCAGTTAGATACAAAAGTACAGTTTTTACTTCCAAGAAAGAGAATATAAATTTCTCTTTTAATGTATTAGAACAACTGTATGACCATGCCTGTTAACCACAAGGGAACCTACTTCACACATAGGGTATCATTAAGTACAGATGACAAACTGCCCATGAGACCAGGCCCACACATACACATTGTTGTGTCACTCTGACAGTGACTGGCATGGCAAGTTTCAAAGGGATTCTGAAACCTTCTTGCGAGGAATCATTACAAAATAGGAAATAAGGGGAGCCATTTCTTAATTCTACAGTATCGTTTATACCCTAAAGCATGAGGTTTCAACTCATATATATTATCTACTACATCCAATTCTTAGCAGACCTGGGGATGTAAAGTCAAGAAAGGAATTAACTAGACCTTGTATGAATAACTGATAATTTCTTGGGTTTCTTTTCTTTATTGTTGACCATCCTCCTGTTCTTCAGTTTGAGACAGGATTTAATTACTCCTAGAGACATTTAAATTTTTATATACTTTTATCTCATTAAGCTCATCTTTTTTGAATTACTGTTAAGCACCTTCATCTTACTGTTCTCTAGCTAAGCATTTCCTGACCTCCAACTATTTGTATGTTATTTCTTTTGAATTTCTACTGTGATACCTCTCACCTATTTTCCAATGTATCTCCTTTGTAAACTGTTTGGCCTTATCTTTTGTCTTTGAAGGCATATTTATATTTTATCCAATTTCTGGAGGGACCCTACACACTACTTTTATATATATTAAGGTAAATTCATCCACCTCCAAATTTAACAAGCATGCCATTTGAAAAATATGTGCTTACAGAAAAAATTTTGTAAAGCATTTTTTTTGAGTTCTCATCACAAATATACTTGTCACCCCTACTGCAGACCACTCACACAGTCACTGAAAAAGAAATCACTAGAACAGATATAGGTATCTAGTGGTTTATTAGCCTAAGATTCATTATTCTTGACAAATCCTCAACATCTTTGTGATGTTCTTACTCATTACAGTAAAATTGGAAATGCCCAGGATTTTCCTCAAAGCCCTGAGCCTATATGGTTGTGTTCTGACACCCTAATCTTCTAAACAAATCAACACCTCCAGAAATAGCTCTTCCAAAATATCACTGGTTCAAAATAAGGGAAAGTACAATACTGTTTCTTGCAGCATTTCTAAGTCTTAAATTTTGATTGCTAGTTGCAAAAAGATATTTCCTTCTTCAAGTCACAGCTTTGAGAAAAATATTTATTCCTAACATATACTTGGATTCTTAGTATAGCCAAGGAAGTTAAAGATTTGTTTTTTCCCTTTAAACGAAAGCACAAGCTACACAAATCTTATGACTTCCAGTAACAATCTCCTGGTAGTTTGCAGAGATTTTTTCACTTCTTTGCAATGCTATCATTTCAAACCTCACCTTCCCTGTCAAGGGTGAGACCATGTTCTTTTAAACTAAGGATTGCACCTGACAGAACCTGAATGGGCCAATTCAGGTTTTAAAATCAGACTTCAGAAAACACTAGTCACAACTCAAGTTTAATCTATGAATCTGCATGCATAAGGGATTTCTACTAGGGTTATTTCTTCATATCCTATTTATGCTTCTGTAATGCTGCCTACAAATAGATTTTGGAAATGTCCCACCCACCTCTGCCTGAACAACCAGGTACCCAACCTTTGAGATAAGTATCCATATTAAATGGGAACTCGGCACAGAAGAAGTGACACAGCACAAACCCTCCCACAGAAAGGACACCATTTACCTATGAAATTAGGTGCAAGAGAAGAAGTGTCAGAGTTGAGAGATACAGGAGAGCCCTTCGAAGGAAACCCCAAGGAAGGAAAGTAACCTGGAAAGACAGAATACACCAGTAAATCAAGCCTGAGAGAAAGCACTGAGAGACAGCATTTCCAATGCTGAGAACAGTCTCCAGAAAATACCTCATATACAAAATTTGGGTCATCTACCACCTTGTTCTTTAAGCTATGCTCTTTCTCTTCTACCATGCACAACATACTACAAATGTAGTCTTTACATAATACAGGTGTTAACATTGTCATAAAGCAAGCCTATGTAAAATGATCTACAGCCTAACAATTACTGGTATTCAGATAATTGTGTTTGCACTTTCAACTGCATGACCTCATCTGAAGGAAACCAACAGACTGATTAAAAGACTGACTAATTTTGACTGGGGCAAAATTGTCCTGGTTCCTTCAATATTCTTGTAGCAAGAAGCAGCTACTTTCAGCTAGCACCACAGCACTCCACTTCTGGTCCTCAAAAAGACTATCATCACTGCCATAGCATTCCCATCATTCCACTCAAAGTCAGGGTTTGTCACATAAATCAGATGCAAAACACTCCCTGACTAAGGATGGTACTGGCTCCCAACATTTCTCCACTCAGTCCCCCAAGCAATTTTTTCTGTTGTTTTAAAAATAAATCCATAAGACAACTACTTTGAAATTACAGAATAACTTTGGCAGTTTTCCCTTTACCCCTCAGTGTTTCCTAAATTCCTGCCTCTGAAATTAATTCTCTCTCCTCTCTATTATGCAGCCACAATAGGTTTTGCCACAAAGACTTGCAGTAAACATAATGTTTTGGAGGTGGTGGTGGAAAGGATATCTGTCACTATTTTTACTATAACCTCTCTGCTGTCTCTGATAATGTGTTGCTTGTTTGACTCCCTCTTCCACAGGGATTTCATACTCAGCAGCCACTGACAGGTCAACCTCTGGCTGTTGTGTAACATCTCTTTCTTCTAAAGATCTTTTTCTTTTACATCTCTTTCTTCTAAAGACAGGAATCCTAAACAGCAGGTCCAAAATGCACAGCCTGACAACTGAGATTTACTTAATACAGCCTGCTAAGTCCAGGAATGATCATCACAAAAAAAAAGATGGAAAAAATCCCCACAAACTGTGGATGGCCTTTGCCTGATAATAACAATAAAGCACATGAGATACTAAAAAGCCGATATCCTACAAAACTCCAAAGTACTTAGTTTGATAGTGCAATACAGTTTTGCTGTTCAAATGAGACTACCTTCTTGCCCTCAGTGTCACACCACTTTTTAATCATTACTGGCACAAAATCTGCATTTTTAATCGGCACAAGTGTGAATGCTATGAATGCTATCAAGGTATCTAGGTATGTCCTTACTGAGCTGTCTCAAAATGAAAAAAGGCAAATCAGAAATAATCTAGAAGAAAAAATTAATTCCCTTAAAAAGCAATGTTTTTCAGGTTTGTGAAGTTCGAAAATTCTTGAAGCATCTGATAGAAGATGCTCATCAGTTTCTTTTCACAAACACTCTAATCATTCTTCACATTGTTTACAGCTAAAGCCTCTTTTCTATAAATAGCTGCACTGATTCAACTTTCGGTAATTTTTGTTCTTGAATCCCCTTCTCTCTCTCACTAAAGCAAGTTCGATTTCTCCCCATTTCACTGGGCAGAAAACTCGATTTAGTCACTGGCTACAGTGAGCAGTCAGAGCGCTCACTGGCAGAGCTCTGCCTCTGCTCTCCCAGGAAGCAGCATTTCTTTCCTCCGCTCAGAGATGATTTTCATTACTTTTGCAAGAATTCAAACCCCTTGTGAAATTAGTTGAAAACTCTTAGATTGAAAGTGCTGTTAGAAGAGATTTATTGAGAGCATGGGAGGAAGAGGATTAAGGAAAGAAAAGGAAGATGGAGCACCTGAATAACCTATTCTTTACCACAACACATTCAACTCTTTTACTATGCTACTCTACTAACTCCGGACAAAAATCCAACAGTGCAATTATTCAGCACCCAAAGTTCAGTCTCCCACTTCTGTTAGTCTCAAGACAACTAGAGGCACTTTGACTATTCTTTCCTTCTTATTGAGTCTGGGTCAAAATTCAAGAAGCTGCAAAAGACTTAAGATGTACTTGCAGGGGTGTAGAGTGCAGAGACGATTAGTATGACCAGCACAGTCTTAATTACCTTAGAACACCCATCTGAAACCTAAACAAATATTTTTAAGTTCATGTTGTGTTAATTCTAGCAAAACTGAATTCATCCCTGTGATCTGAAAAGGCAGACATACTTGCATTCAAAGCAATAGCATTTTCTCCTCTGTATTTGAAATGTTAAAGTAACTATTGATTTCCCAAAGCAATCAACATAACTGAAAACCAAGACTCATAAAGTTATTTATTAAAGTCAGATTTTCTTTTGAAAACAGGAAAACAAAAGTTGAATTACTTTATTTTTTTTTTAATAGACAAAAAATAGCAAGGGATAGGATCCTGCAGAATTGGTGAAATTCTAGAATACATTAGCTTGTCTCACATTCACAAACTTTTTATTGAATTTAAAGACATTAGAGAAAATAGCTTGAAATACACTTTCTATATAGAGTTGTATGTCAATCTTTCAGGATGCAGTGCAGATCTTTTTATATAATAATGTAAGGCAGTCTCAATTATAAATCTGTTACAGTCCCTAACTGCTGCCTCTCAACATAACCTCATCAGGAAGACTCTTCTAATCAGGTGCTTTAGTAACATAGGGACATGCACATAGAGAAAAAAGCAAGCTGTTTCTCAACATACTAATTTTATGACCTACCAAAAGAAGAGTAAGCCCTACTAAACTGGACAAGAAACAGCACAATTACCTCAGACTATGGAACATGATTTTTAGCATCCCGCAAATTACATAGAGAAAAAAAGATAAGCACTATCACAAAAAAAAAGAAGACTTACAGTAGGATATTGTATACAGCAATAGGACATAGTATAAGCATACAGCAAAAATTCCATGCACGCCATAATTCACAGGTTAACAATCCGTAAGTATTGACCGAGCAGTACCTTGTGGAGGGACTGGCTGTTGATATCCTGGCACCGGCCCATTATAAGCTCCATACTGCGCCTGAGGAACCCCTGGCAATGACTGTCCTCCGTAGGCAGGCTGCTGGTATCCCTGATATCCAGGCTGAGGTTGCCCATAAGGAGGCCCCGTGTGAGCTTGCTGGTTTACACTCATTGTATTCACATCCCCAACCTAACCTCACCTGTAAAAAGGGGGGGAAAAATGACTTTAAGCAGATATAAAACCAAACTGGTCAGCTTCCCTAGTGTAAAAAGTAAGTGAGAGATCGTAAGATACTTGGAAAGCTCAAACAATAATGGTAACTTACTCTTGCACAGCAATTCAGATAAATGCTTTACAAGAGCTACTTAAAACAGTACTTTCAGAAACTATGTTTTCTAATCAGTTTAGCATTTCATCCTGGTTAGACGTGTGATCATCATCTTAGATAGAAATACTATCATTTGCCATTCCACAGCAGATTATTATCAAGCTTCCTGAGAAACCTTTCAAACTACTTCCACCTCACAGAATCAGACCAACAGAAAATAGATTTCATGATATAGATGAGTGATCCCTTAATATAACACTTCAATAACACTGAACAAGCTCAGCTGTCACCTCTGTGTTAGTTTACTTGATCATGCTTCCTCATTACAAGCAGCAAGCTTCACCATCCACAAAGGCAGTTGCTTGAAGTGTTTGATAAAATCTAAACCAGGACCAGCATAGGGAGCTATACCCTTTTTTTTTTAGCAATAGATGATTTAAAGTCCTTGCTATGTACACACATTTCAGCAAACAAAGATATTCCAAAAGCAAAATTTTCACCTAGGAAAGGTGTTCAAAATGGAAAATAATTACAGGTAAAGATGGCACTAAAGGAGTTTCACCAAAGTGTAAGACCTGAAACAGTGTCAGAGAGAGGAGAGACATTTCTTACAACCTTCTACAAGAAATTTTGCTCAACAGACAGATTCCCAACTCCCCTAATTAACTGTATAGAGACTGACTAGCATAACAAGTAAAGCAAAACTATTACTGTAAGACCCCAAAGCAAACAGGCAATTTTTATAACAGCAAGCAGGGAGATAACCCACAGTGCCTTTCATTTGTGGAGAATCAAGATAACTTCATGGGCAGGAGATTCCCTCATGGTGTGTTTCTCATAAGAATATTTTGCATCGCTTGTACTTCTTTGGACACTCCATATCACTGTTAGCCTCTTCAGCTAAGACTACTACACTAACACTAAAGAAACATGTTTTGGGGCATCAAATTATTCATTAAAAACATCAGTTTATATTAAAACGCAAAGTAAAAGTAAATTAAATAACTAATGTTTCCCTCACATTTTTTTCCAAACTCTATTATGAACGTGTGTGTTAAAGATACCAAGTAAATCATAACCCAGAGGAAACAGGTGCTACAGCCACCAGCAGCAAAGCCTGACTAGGAATCTGTAGCTTAATCAGGTATCAGAGCTGGTCTGCCTACACTCTGACTAGCACACGCCAAACAATGCTAAGGTTGGTTCTTCACATTACCAAAAATATGATGTCAAAGAATTATTTCAACAACTGACATCACAGTTGTACAGCAAAGCCACTTGAAAAACTACAGCTCTGTAAGAATCATCCACATGAAGAAATCATACATCTAATAAAGGGAAAATACATATATCATAACAGAGAGATTTCATTATTTAAAAAAGAAAACAGCACAAGCTAGCACAAAACATAAAAACTACGTTTAACCTCCCACAGCTAGTAAACATGACAAATGTCAATACTAAGATTACTAACACTTACTCTGAAATTAGATTTTAAACTTTTATGAAAGGAAATAAATGAAGTTTTACATTTTTATTCTCCAAATTGTATAAAAGCAGAGATAGGGCTTTTGTTTAGAAAAAGATCTCCTCTTAAATATTTAAAGGTAATTTGCTCTTGAAAGCTAACATGTAATTTGCAACAGCTTAGAAGAGCATGACAAATTTTCATCAGCCCGCAGTGGTATTAAACATGATTACTCTCTTACTATCATGTTTATAACATGTAATCTCTAAAAATTCTGGTTTCCCACACTACCTTTGACTTAGTTCTGCAGACCTGAGCAGCCATGTGGCCAGGAAGTCTGGACTTTGGGACCGGCTCCCTTCCCAAGTTCTCTGAAAGGTTAACCTCTTACTGCCCAGGTAAGCAATCAGCATGACCACACTGGAATGACAGACCTACCCTCAGCCACCTCCTGCTCTGTACAAAGAGTAAAGCAAGAGAGTGCCTCCTGCAAAGGTGGGACTGCAGGCAAAGAAGAACACATCAAGAGGACTCCTCTACCTGCTCATCTTGGAACATCTGGGCAGGGCTTTCTGACAGCGAAGGAGGGCTGTGTTCTCTTCTTCCTGCCCCTGCGTATTGGATCGCACATGAGAAACCTGGCTCCTGGTCACTGCTCCTGCAAACAGGTCACTCCTCCAGGAAGAGCTGCAGAGTAGCTGTATTCCACAGGATAGCTCCTGAGCTATAACCACCAAGACACTTTTCACAAGTTAGACCTACAGAAATCCCCGAACAGATCTAATGTTCGAACTAGGAATTACTACAGGGCAGAACAGGAATCTTTCATGCTTTTTCTCCTGTTTTTCTAAAGCACTAACTTACCGTTGTGTTTACTCAGTAATGACCTTTTACTATTCCCTTTTCAGCCTTCCCCCCGTCGTGTGAATATCAGTATTTCCTGCCTGAGCAGGTGATATCTGTAGCTTGTTGCTCTGTCCACAATACCAAAACTGAGAGGTAAGCTGATTTAATGCATACCTTACAGAGAAAAAGTTTTGAGATAATCTACAAATCTGTGGAAAAAGTAGCTACGCAAACAAGATGGTTCTAACTCAGCATCCCAACTGCAAGGTGGATACACCTCGGACCTTTAGCTAGCCCATGTGCCAGCCAGCACAGGCTCAACCTCCACTACAGCACAAGCTGATACTTGCTCTACACTGGCAGAGCATCAAGGAGGGAGACTTAAGAACAAGTCCAATGTTGAAGCTGTGGACAAGGCTGCTTCACTGTTTTGGTGCCCAACTTGCTCTGAACATAAGGCTTGTGGCATGTTTGCTCATCACTGATGTGAAATACCATAAGGCAGGACCAAGAGTATTTGCCTCTGAGAAGGTGGAAGACAGTTGTCACTGAGTGACTTCGTTTTCCCTCTTCCCCGGTACAAGTTATTTGTATCAAACATTCATTTTTTTTCACTCAAAAAACATTTCTGTTTAAATTAGAACCTGGTCACTTGAAGAGATATGAAGAAAGGGAGAATTTCATCCTTTGTCTTATGACACAAAGGGTGGCTGGGGTATAGAGAATGACAGAAATAATACATATACCAGATAGAGAGAAATGTTCATAACAGGCCATTTCACTGGATAAAAACACTGAGGATATTCCTTTGCATGTAGTAACACATTACCAAAACTGAGCCAAACATAATACTGACACATGGTGTTGAACACCTTATTACTAGTCAGCAGTTACAATACACAAAGGTCAAATGAGCAGGATTGATGCTAGAGAAAAAAAATCCCGTGACAAGTGGTCATTACCATAAACAACAATTTTCCTGCAAAGCAGGAAGCAGCCACTCTATACCATTTTCTCTTCCTCTGTATAAAGGCAGCTGACCATGAAGTTTTGGTCAACAGTTACAAAGGTACAATTAGACCAGAAGGCTGTTGTACAAAACAGACAACCAGTGAGAATCAGTAATGAACCAATGGGAGGAAAATACACAGGAATAATGTAGGGGGTGCTGAATATCTAAATTTCTACAATAGCTTCAAGATTACTTAATATCCAAACAAATCAGACCACAGTAAAGTTTTTATGACATGCTTTAAAAAAAACCCTAGTGATTCGTATGAGCTCATTTCAATGAGCAAATCTTCCAAATCACTGAAAAGTTCATATTCATCATTTTTTATAGTCTGCATTCACTGTTAACTCACTTTTGAAAGTGAAAAGCTTGAGCTCATAAGTTCTTGTTCACTTTCTAAAGGAAAAGCATACAGCAAAATTACTTTCCTTCAGAAAAGTGCTATTGCCTTTTTTACTGGTCCCAGGGAAAGAAAAAACTGTTTATTTCAACTTCTGAGGAGATTGATACTTTAAAAAAAAACCCCAAACCTACAACAACAAAAATATACTCAACCCAAGTCAACCACATGGCTACAAAAGAAATATCTAATTTAACACAAAAATTACAACTATTTCCAAAAGATGGGATAGAAGGAGAGTATCAGTAATTCAGAGTATTGCCTATACTACTTTTAATGTTTCTGTTCTGTAACTTTCTGGAAGCAGCAAGGTTTTGTTATTCTTACAAAGACCCAGACTCAGAAGCTAACAACATGCTTCAGAAAGGGAAATGTCCTTGCTTTTGTTTCAATGACAGCTTGACCAGGTCTTCTACGAGCACTCATGGAACACTTGGTCCTTTTCAGATATAAAAAATTACTGGGTGGGGTGTTTGTTTGTTTTTTTTTTTTTTTTTTGGTTTTTTTTTTCCTGTAGAAAATCCCAGAAAAGAAACTCATGTCCTAAAAGTCAGAAACTGCCAACTAATCTGTAAGCTCACAGGCCACTGTAACAAGTGCCTCCCACACATTTGTCCCAGGCAACCAAAATGGCAATACTGGAATCCACTCCAATCTGTTTGTAATATGTGTCACTCTCTCTTCCTGCCTGTGCAGATTCTTAACTTCTTACACCACAGGTAACATTTTCTTCATCTACGCATTTTTAGTTACTGCCAGAAACGTTTGTTTTAACAGTTCAAGAAAAGTATAAGACACAGTTTTCAAAGTGAATCTAAGGTGTGATCACTTCCATATTATTTTAAAGAAGGACACATTAAACCCAGTTTTGTTAGGCTGATTCACCATCCTGGACAAGGTACAATACAGTACACAAGTTAAAAGAGTTTGAAAGTGATTAAAAACTGAACACAAAAAAAATCAGCTTAGTCTTGACCTAACCGTAAAAGTACCAATACTTCCAACCCCTGCTATCACCACCATATTTCTACTTCAAGAACATTTTATACTTTGTTGACTCAAGTCTCCTGGTGGGACTGATTCACATCTCTATCACTGTAATGAAGCTCAAGGAAAAGATGTGAAAAACACTCTGCTATGAGCATGGCTTCTAAAGAGCAACCCCATGGAGGCAAGAGTCACTGACAATACAGCATCAACAAAACCATAGCGAAGGATCTGTTTCCTAGCTACCTCCACATACATGTGGACATATGTTACAATGAGTGAAGTAATCTGAATAATTTCTGTGACTCTTGCTCAAGCATAATGGATTAGAAAAAGCTACATGAGCAGTTTCAACTCTAGAGAAGAGGCCAGAAGAAAGGAAGAATGGAAATAACACTAAAAACCAAGTTTTCTTCACATATATTGTAACACTGGCCACCTCTGTGCTCTGACTTCCTCTACACAAATAAAAATTACATAATTTCCATCTCTTGCAAGAAATAAAAAAAGGTCAGACCTAGCTTTTTCTAATACCTACTGCCAGTTTATACTGTCTTTTAATGCTTTCTGTGTTAACAATGAATCTTGCTAAACATATAAAAACAACCTGTATATTCACAATTTATCCCTAACACATCTTCTCAAATATAAAGAATAAGAAACATCCACCTCTCTTCTGCAGAGACATTACTGTTGGTGACTCTGTACCTTGCCCTTCCTTAGCCAACCATCAATTTTTCCTTTGATTTTTGACCCTCCTTCTGATAATAAGTGTTACAGGAAGATAACACAGTCGTACCACAGCAGGAAACAACATTCAAAGAAGTAAAAGCACCAAGTCACTCATCAAAGAAATAATATTTTAAATAGCTGTTCACTGCTATAAGTCAGCTTTCAGCCATTAAATTAAAATCTGGAGTGAGTGTCACAGCATATTAAGAAGCAATTATATATTCTTTATATTGATGTCCTCTTCATACTCTGTCTACAACAATAAAAGAATCCTGAATGGCACAACTTCAAGCCAAAAAGGGTAGTTCCATTAGCAAGAACCTGTTCCACAAGAAAATGGATAGAAATATTTATGTTTTCACAGAGTATATATATGTGATTGAAAGTAAGTCACCTTTAAAGATGAAAGCTTGGAAGTTTTTGGCTACGTACATTTCTATCTGTCCTATAACTGGAACACCTACTCTAAGAGAAGGTTGCGGGAAAGAAAAAAACAATGTTAAAGCCAGAGTTCCCTAAATTTACTCATGAAAACTTCACATTAATATAGAGCAAAGACTTTAGTAGAAAATCAGTAGTCATCTCCCATATCAGTGATGTGATTTTATACTGCTTGTAAAAACAACAAAAAAGAATTTGTATGTTACGCCTCAGATACTGATATCTGTCCAACATTCCTCACAACATTTGGTAAATCTGACTACAGAATACTTTAACAGAAATGCACCTAGAAATACTTTTAAGGAATTATCACATTAATAGCTAACAACCAACTCAGTACCAAACTGGAAAAAAATCTGTATTTTCAATGACAGTGCATTAATTGACATGACATTAATTCCTGTGGATAACTTCTGACATTGGTGTAAGCAATTCTCTTATGTCCCAGCAACCAGAAGCTTAAAAAGAACTTCAGCTACAGCCCAGTTTGCATGGTTTTGCAGTCCCTCTCAGAGATCAGCACAGTCCAAAAAAAAAAACCAAAAAAAACAAAAAAAGCAAACTAAAGGAAACTAAGGTTCACTGTACTCCATCAAAAGCACATCTCAGAAAGAGTGAAAGCAAATTCCAACAGAAAATAAAACACATTTAAAGCACCATCTACATGGAAAGCAAGAGTCCCATCTTGCATAATCACCTTTTCAATACTACACTTGCATTTCTATCGTGCCATCTCCTTCACTTCCCTCCTTCCTTTTTTCACAGCCACACAATCACTAAGTTTTACTACCAATCCAACCAATCTCAGCCGCCAGATGTCTGCAAGGGATGCCCATCCTTTGCAAAGCTCGAATGAATGAAAGCTTGAACAGCACAGCACAAACGCCAGGGGAAGGACCAGCGGATTACAGGAGATTAGAGAGGGGTACCTTGACTCGCGGCGCACCCCGACCAAAAAGAAGCACTCGGTTCTCGGTGCCGGACCGACGGCCCGACCCGCAGCCGCCGGGTGTCGCCCCACCACACCGGGACACCGACGGGTCTCTCGGGGCAGCCCAGGCACTGCAAGTGCAGGCCCCGCCGACAGCCGGGCCGGCCCCGCGGGCCGCCGGCACCGGCCGGGCCGCGGGCGATGCGGACGCTCCCGCCCGGACGCGTTCCGGGGAGCCCCGGGGCTCTGCAGAGCCTCCCGCGGCGCGCAGCACGGTGGGCCCGACGCGTCACCCGACCGGGCGCCACCGGGCCTCGGCGGAGGAGGAAGCGGCAGCGGCGGCACCGCCTCGGCTCCGGGCCCCGGCCGGGCCCTGGGCGCGGTGCCGGGTTCAATGCCGCCCGGCCGCTCGCCCGCCCGCAGCGGGCACCGCACGGCCCCGCGGTGGGCCTGGCCCCCCGGAGCCCCCCCAGGCCCCACTCACCACCGCTGCCGCCACTGCCGGGCCCACTTCCGGCTCCCGCCCCGCCGCTCCCCGCCCGCGGCTCCCCGCCGCCGCTGCCACGTCCGCGCTCCGCCCGCCGGGGCCCGGATGCGGCGCAGGCGCCGGGAGGCCCCGGCCGCTGACGTCCTGGCCGGGGCGGGAGGCGGCTGCGGGGCAGGGCTGCGGGGCTCGGCTGCGGGGCTGCTTCTCGCGCAGCCCGAACCAGCGCCGTCCGCACGGGCAGCTGAGGCGTGAGCCGGGCACGGCCGGGCGCTGCTGAGATGCGGCCACCACTGACCGCGGCCCTTGGCCGCCTGTCCCACCTGCGGCTTGTGAAAGACCGCGACAGGGGAGCAACCAGGGCCAGTTCCGCAGAAAAGTGCAAAGAGTTGTTCGCTCTCTGCTAACAACAGCGGAGCGATCGTCCCCCCGTACTCGGCACTGGTGGGACCACCCCTCAAGTACTGCATTCAGTAGGGCCTAGTGGCTCCCTCACTTCAGAAAGGGCATTGAGTTGATGGAGCGTGTCCAGAGAAGGGTAACAAGGCTAGAAAAGGTCTAGAAAACTTGTCTTACAGGAATGGATGAGGGACCTGGGATTTTGTCTTGAGAAGAGGATGCTTGTGGAGGATGTCATGGCCCTCCAACTGCCTGAAAGGAGATTGCTGTGAAGTGGGGACTGCGCTCTTCTGTGGCTACAGAGAGGACAAGAGGAAATGGTCTAAAGCTGAGACAGGGGAGACTCAGATTAGATATTACAAACGTTTGCACTGTTAGGGTGGTCAGGCATTGGAATAGGTTCCCCAGGAATGTGGTGGAGTCACCACCCCAGAGGTGTTTTAAGAGGCATCAGGATCTGGTGCTGGGTGATGTGGTTTAGGGGTTACAGTGGTAGTGCTGGGTGGATGGTTGGACTTGATGATATCAAAGGTCTCTTCCAACCTTGATGATTCTGTGATTGTGTTGGTTTGTGCCCACCACCAGTATGCAATGGCACCAGATGAGTGGTGCTATAGTACTGGCAATGAAGTCAGCCAAACAATGGCATCCCAGCAAAAGTACATCCTCTGGATGTTACAGTATAAGGATATTAGTCACTGAGACCTAAGCATATGCAGAATAAGGAAGATGTAAGGGTAAGCTTGTCCTCAGGACCTGAACAGAAAATTATGTTTTATGCCTTGTAGGAAAGGGTGAACATGGACATTAATTATTTTAGAACTCCCTGGCTTAGGATGGCTAGGAACTTGTGTCTGTCTAAAGAAAAACGACTGAAAGACTCTGCTCCACTCTAGTGAGACCCCATCCAGAGACCTGTGTCTAGCTTTGAGGTCCTCAGCACAGCAAAGACATTAACCCATTGGAGGAGGTCCAGAGAGAGGCCAAGAAAATTATCAGAGGGATGAAGGCTTCTCTTACTAAGAAAGACTGAGAGAGTTGGGGTTGTTCAGCCTGAATAAGGTTTTGAGGCGACCTTATTGTGATCTTTCAATACTTACAAGAGGCTTTTAGGAAAGCTGGAGACAGACATTTTAGTAGGGCTTATAGTTACAAGACAAGGGGTAATGGTTTTACATGAAAAGAGGGTAGATTTAGACCAGATGTAAGGAAAAAAAATTTCTGCTACCAGGCTGGTGAAGCACTGTAACAGGCTGCCCAGTGTGGTAGCAGATGCCCCATCCCTGGAAACACTCGAGGTCATATTGGACAGGGCTCTGAGCAATCTGATACAGTTGAAAATGTCCCTGCTCATTGCAGGTAGATTGGGCTAGATGATCCTTAAAAGTTCTTCCAACCCAAACTATTCTCTGATTCTATGACCTGGTTGGGCTCTCTTGGCCATTGAGACTATGTAAGCAGTGCCCTGCAGAGAACTGTGTGAATCCTGTGTGTGTAGCTAATCCCAGCTATTCTGGTCTCAGTGTCCAGTGCTACGAGTGGATGTAGGGGATGTCAGGGAGCAGCACGCTGCAGAGGGAGCACAGTACATCCATAGTCTGAAAGCCTGTGGCTTTCAGGGCAGGCACATAGTGCTGCTGTGTACTAACACTAGCTTCACAGAAAAAATAGAAGTGGGGAGCACGTTAATTGCAAGCTGGTTTTGTTCAATTCATAGGGTCAGGTGCTGTCACCTGATTTGTACAAGTTTGTGCCTGTGACATGTCCTTGCCTGAAACTCAAACTAACGGATCCCGAGTACTGAGGGACTCTAAAATTTGCATGTAGAATGCAAAGTGGAAATAAGTTTTTAGCTGAAATGCTTCCAGCTTTAAGAGTGTCAGACAAAGCTCTGGAGAGACAGGAGGTGTGCTATTTTCAGCCACGTTCCGGTGAGGGATCCATCATGTATGCGGGGGGGTACAGAGGGTGAGATTGACATGACACGTGTGTAGGACAACTCTGGTCCCTTACCAAGGGCAGAATCAAATGTCTAATCATAGGCAGAGCAGCAGCTGAGAGTCCAGAAGAGCAGTGAAGGCTGGGCTTGACAGTCTCAACTCTTGTGTGTGTGTGTGTGTGTGTGTGTGTGTGTGTGTGAACTTCAAGGAGAAAGTGAGCAGAGGGCCTTGTGGGGACTGGAGAGTGGTGGTGTGAATTGTGAATATGGGAATAGAAGATTCTGCCTGTTAAGAACTGGAGTCTGAAGTTGTACTGAAGTTGTGAAGACAAAATATCTTAAGCACAGAAATCATGGGAGCTGAAGAAGAAATGCTCATCACTCTGTCTGGAGGTGCCCCCTGGGGCTTCCGCCTGCAAGGGGGTTCAGAGCAGAAAAGACCCCTTCAAGTGTCAAAGGTAGGACCTTGAGGTGCAAACTGTGAGAGCAAAGTTGTTTTGCTTAACTAAGCTATCCCTACTGAGTTGGGCATCTTTCACTGCTGTTAAGGAATACAGGAATTCCTTACCATGACAGCAGATCTTAAAAGGAAAACTTGGGTGGTGTGCTCAAGCAGGGTGTGAGGTGGGCTGTGGGTCCTTGAACAGGTGCTGTTGAGGTAGAGACAAGTGTCAGGTGAAGATCGGCTTCAGTGCAGGACTGTACAGCTCAGACACTTTGTAGGCTGTACAACTCTCTTGTGTTGTCAGCAGAGCTATAACCATAGTGACAGTGCAGGGAAAACGGTTCAAATATGGAAACTTCAATACCCATGTAAGATATTCAACTAAAGAAAAAATAAATTGAAGCAGTAAAAGCCATATTTTTAATTCAACTGTCTCTAACACTTCATTACTATATTCCAGCTTTCAAAATAGATGTACATTTCTTAGTGCCTCTTCTGTTGGTGAAAGTTTTTCAATACTGTCTGAAGTGAATATTTGTGATGCTTTAAGTAGCAAATACTGGTTTAATTAAAAAGAATTAAAGAAAAACATTTTTTTGGATGTGAGATTTAAAAAATGGAATAAACATGAACCTTGTGTTGCACTACTTTTGATAAACAGCTGTTACTGTTTTCTTTTCAGAAAGACTACTGAATAGATTGAAAACTAGGGGGGAAAAAAAGGTCCTCTTTATTAAGCTCAAGACAGCTGCATTAGCCTCGACACAATGATATCTTGGGATATCTCACTGGAAAGCACCCAGCAGCAGAATTGAAAAAATGCTCTGCCCAGCTCCTTCTGTTTCCTTAAGCAGACCATGCCTCTGATAGAATTTTGAAATTAAATGTTCTCTGTCACTTGGCTCACCCCAGATCACGTAGTGCTTTTCTGTAATTTCTGTCAAATTGTTTGGAATCCCATAGCTTGGCCTTGAAGCAAATGTTTCTTATGTAGAGAAAGACAATTTTTCTCCAGAAAAAAAAATTTCTGCACTAACTCATAGAGTTTCAGTTTAAAAAGGAAGAATCAATATCCTTTAAACAGGTGTCTGGCATCAGTGGTTCTTAGGAAAATGGAATTTTCAAGGGCTACATTAACTCTGCATGGTCTAAGATTATTTTGACTCTTGTTTTTCCCTCAGTAGATAAGAAACTGGGACTGGAGAGGGAGGAGCTTGTGAGTGTCTATAAAGATTAATCAGGATTGAACAGCAGCAAGAACTAGTCATTACCCAGGCTAAGTTGCACCTTAAGGTGAATGGAATATTGCTCAAGGATTAGTAGCACTTGCAGGAAGGTATTAGCTAGAAGCAGCTCTTACCCAGAATTGGGTGCTGTACTTTAAGTCTAGCAATACAAATATATATAGTTTTACAATACTTGGATATTGCATTAAAAATAATTATGGAGAATATAATTGATACAAATCCATTTGAGGCTCAAAGTATACATCATTCTTTAGGCAGGATTTTCATTTTATAATTATTTTTTTTTGTCTATTATCACCCAGAATTTAATAGCATCCGATGACCGTACATACTATCTTAAGGCAATACCAATTAAATAGTCTCCAAGGAATGGATGGTCCTTACCAGGTACTCAGGAAGATCATATCTGAATGTAACCTGCTTAGAAGAGAATAAAATGCCAGTTGTCATGTGATAGAACATACAGCCATGAATAGCTGATAGGTGCCAGGAGATAACTGAGTGGATACTATTTGTGTCTCAGAGATTCCAGTGCAGTCATTTTAGACAATTTCAACTTCTAGGCTAGAAAGTCATAGTAGTAACACTAAGGAAAGATGCTTACCTTTGGATGCTGAGTCAAATGATGAATAACTGATAAAAAGTTAATTTGGGAAATTAATCAAGCATGGCAAATACATTATATATAAATGATACATGTTGTACTTCGGCAGAGATGCTGGATTTGCAATTAAATTATTGGCTTTTTTCAATTTGCAATTAACTCGAAAGGTACAGCTAATATAAGCATTTGAAACTATTTTCTAGTGCAAAGTATTCAACTGGCTGTAACAAAATAAAGTACATGAGCATGTTGGAAGTGGGGTGTGAACCCATTTTTCTACAGACTAAAAGGATGCATAGCTGTAGTTTCAACTGTTTCTCCAAGCAAGAGATCAATGCTAAACCTCAGTCAGTTGCCACAAAGGGGTAGAAAAGCAGCTTTGTCTTCACATGCTTGATGCAGCTGCCACAGAGCTTCTGTGCCATTCAATAAGTCCCTGTGGGTTATGTGTTCAGGGACACACCTGGAGAAAGGCAGGAATTACACCTGAAATTACACACCTGGAATTACATCCTTGTGGACAGTCTCTTGGGTCGGATGTAACTGGGCATGAGCCCGCAGTGTGCCCTGACAGCCCAGAAGGCCAACAGCATCCTGAGCTGCACCCAAAGAGGAGGTGGAGAGAGGTGATTCTGCCCCTCTGCCCACTTGGAGCACTGCATAAACCTCTGGGGTCCTCAGTGCAGGAAAGATGTGGACTTCCTAGGATCTAGAGGATCTAGATGATCCAAGGGATGGAGCACCTCTCCTATGAAGACAGTCTGAGAGACTTGGGGTTGTTCAGCCTGGAAAAGGCTCTGGGGAGACTTCATTGTGGTCTTCCAGTACTTGAAGGAAACTTATACAACAGAAGGAGAGATATGTTTTAGATGGATAGATAGTGATAGGATAAAGGGGAATTATCTTAAATTGAGAGATTTAGATCAGATGTAGTGAGGCGCTGGAACAGGTTGCCCAGAGCAGTTGTGGGTGCCTCATCCCTGGAAGTGTTCAAGGCCAGGTTGGATGGATCTCTGAGCAACCTGGTCTAGTGGAAGGTGCCCTGCCTGTGGCAAGGGGGGTTGGAACAAGATGATCTTTAAGATGCCTTCCAACCATTTTATGATTCTATGATAACTAATTCTGTGTTCAAGTAAACTTAGGGAGCCAAACCAGCCTTGGGATCAGAACATTGCTTCTTCCAGCAGTGCCCAGTGGATACAGAGGGAAAAGCACAATTTAAGTAACACAAGAAAGATTGAAATGCTAGCATTAACACCAACTGATTATATGGTTCCAGATCTGTAACTGCAAATGCCTATTCCTTTCATCTTAAACTTGCCTACAAGAGCACATACTGACTCTTTTGTTCCACCAAAACAATAATTTGCAGTGTCCAGGTGCTAAAATTGCCTAATGTGAATCTGAAGGCTACCATACTGATGTGTATTTGAAAGGTGTACCATTAATAATTAGTCTCATACAAACAGATACTATAAGAGTAGAGAGTAAGACCAAAAAATAAACAAAAGAAAACATGTGTCTGGGGAGCTTTCAGTGAGAAAGAATAGATGATTTTTCAATGAGGGTTGTATTAAAGTATCATGCTGTAATGAGTAAGCTGAAAGAAAAGCAGACATTGATATGCTCATCAGCACAATCAAACATCAGCAGAGAACATGAATCATTCTGCAGAAATTAGAAAGGATAGGAATACTGAGAACTAGATAAACAAATAAAGAGGGAGATAAAGACTAAAGAACACAAAAAGCAAAAGATAATCTCACTTTTGTTCTTAGTTACAGCAATGTATTTCTAAGTGAAACCAGTTGAACTACTCTGGATTCAAATTGGCTTATTGTGATTCCTAGTGCATCTTTTACCTTATGAAGAAGATAAACTCTAGTGGGAGTTTACCCTCAACAAAATAAAGCTGACTTGGTCTAGCTCAGTAGCTGTGGTGCAAATGACAACTTAAGACAAAAAAAAATCTTTGACCAGAAACAGTCTTTAGGAAAGATAGAGAACAAGCATAAACACAAGAAGCAAAAAGGATCCATAGATGGCAAGATTTTTATTTTAGAAAAGCTGAGTGATAGTACATGGTCCTCACATGTAGCTGTTACTGATGAGAAAGTTAACCTATTCTGTAAAGAGAGTAAGAGAGAAAAATACTATCAGGTTCCTGGAGGATTTCTTTGCAGTAAGGATATGTGCATCAAATGCTTTTGAAACAAAATTAAAAACAGCTAATCTGAGAAAAGTTGCAAACTCTAATGCCACTAATCAACCAAAGTAGAAACCTACCATGAAATTATAGTATGGAAATAATTTTTATGAAGATGAACAAGACAGTTTGGGGATGATGCAAGTACATGAAAACCTGACTTTAGGGATCCTGCTGCAAAACAAGATTTGTTCAATGAGGGGCAAACATGGTTACTTTCTATAAAAAGCAAGGAAGGCACTTCTACCTCCATCACAAGTACAAATAATACTGACAAAATAGAGGAAACTGTCTTTACAGCTGGTACTGATAGCAGAGGCAAAGGACCTGGGCATACTAGTGCATCACCAATAATAAGCCAACAAAATTATGAATGTCTGAAAAAAAAAAGGCAAACAGAAACAAATGAGCCTCAGGTAGACATGTCTCACAGATATAGGAAGGCATTGATATTACTGTCTAATGCACAAGGGGGAACTCACTGGAAATACCATACTTACAGAATTAGTTCCTTTTAAGGCAAATAAATGTAAAGCGCAGCCATAGAAAATGAGGGGAGGACAGAAAGCTTCTTTCACCTAGCAAAATATTGAAAGAGGTGACTGCAATCTACAAGTACATGTTGAGCAAATACCAGTAACACTATTCAAATATAGGTGACAGGATTGACAGCATGGAACAAATAACCAGGGAGGTTCAGCAATGACTTTCCAATCTGGAAAAAGAATTGAAAATCTTTTGAGTCAGTTTATGAACTGGGGTAAACAATATTGCCTCTGAAAACTGCAGGGGATTGGCCCTGGTAGCTCAAGAGACTCCTTTCAGTTGGCTGTTCTGTGCAAATACTCTGCAGCAATGTTAAGGGAATTGTTAGGGGAAGCAGTAGCACAGGATTATGCTGGTTCTAAAACAAAAAAATGTTATTTTTTGTTTAAGTGCAGTTCATCACAACTTCC